GCGAATATGCACGCAACCAACAGCTGCTGTTCAATAGATCTGTTCACCAGCAGCGCTACATAGCCAGCAATTTCAATGCTCTGATTCAAATTACGGCTTGTATTGTACCAATGGATGTGGTCATTACATCCGATTACTGTATTTGTGCATCGACATAATTATTAGCAACATCGACACGAGACGAGCTCGATCAAAATTAGAACTTTCGGTTCCACTTGATTGCTTTCAACAAGAATCGAATTTGTCGTGTGTACATACGCAGTCGGTTGGTTTTTGTTCGTTTGATTTTTTTTCTCGTCTGTTTCATTGTTTTGCTTTTCGTTATATGGAAGAGTCCAAAGTACTCGCCTTGTTCAGGTGAGTTTATTGAATTCAGTTTGCAAATAAATTCGCCATGGTTGTACATTCGAACACTTTTTGCAAATGCGGCAATAACACAATGACAATGGGGAAAAAACCGGGTAAACGAAAAACTGAATATGTAATCAAAACCAACAATAATAACAAAAAAACAGACATTATTTGGTGTGTTCGTTCAATGGATTGCACAGAGTTTTACATGGTGCATAATAGAAATGAAGCAAAAATATGTAATCGCTGTGTGGCGATCGCTTTGATGCACCTATAAATTAAATGAAAAAAAAAACAGCAACAACAGCAATGAGTAAAGAAGAAAGGCGAAAAAAACAATGCAACCATGCATTACACACTCAATACAAGTGTATATAGGCATAAAACCATCGATACGATGTTTGCCGTACTGATTGTTTTAAACTGACGTAGACGTCGTCGTCGTCGTCAGCTTCGTCGTCGTCGTCGTCGTCGTCGTCATCGCCGTTGTCTTGCATATACGTATTTGATGTGATTTTGAGCGATGGCTGCTGCACCGGCCAACCGATAATAATGTGTGAATTGGCAACTGAAGGGGATTGAAAATAAACAAAGACTTCATGTACTACAATATGTAGTTAGAATTTCATTACGAATCGGACAGACGCAGAAAAAACTCGTTCAAGTGACTACCAAAAGTTTGAGTGCCAATCATCGTGTTCAAAAAGTTAACGAGATATCATCAGTAGTTGAATTGAAATCATCGAACGAAAAAAAAAACAATAAATTCATCGTCAAATGGAATGCGAACGTAAAAATTGCGAATAAGATTACGATTGGTGCACCTATATACATATGCAGGAAGAAATTACGTTGTGTATTTGTGTTGTGGCAGAAAATTCTTAAACTAAAAAATCAAGTGGTATTACAACGGTCGTTCAGTTTAAAATTGGAATTTTGCCTAAATGGAGTGTTGCGGCCTCTTGAATACAGGCAAGGAAAAGAATCAAACACGTTTTACAAGCCGATATTGATTCCGAGACCGTTTCATTGAGAAAAAAAAGGGAATTGCGGCACCGTTAACACACTACGACAATTATCGGCACACCGAAGAATCGGCAAATTCTCAATTCTCACGAGAGTGTGTTCACTGCTTCGAGTTGATAATTTTCAATTTGATTTGAACGTGTAAACCAACACCAATCTCGCAAGACGTATGCTGCCTCCGTCTGCTGATGATGTCGGTATTTGTGGCGTGGCTTTCTATGTATTTGTATCGACTATCAGAGACGCAAGCGAACATAACCGCCGAGCCCGACTGTGAGTGTCGTTATGTGCGTTCATCCACACACAGTAAACGTGTATTTTAGCGATGCGAAAGACGGAGAGCTAACGAAAAATTTTAAATTCATATAGTATTTACAAGTGCTTTCAAACTTGACGGATCCTCTCGGTCAACAGTTTTTTTGTTTTGTTTTTCTCACATCGTTCATTCAGTGTATTTGCCTCTGTTCAATTGGAACACAATATTGTGCATTACATTTCAAATTTTAAGTCTATACAAAAATCGAGATCATTTGACATCGTCGTGGCTTTGTGAATTGTTATTTGGGGACCTTATTCATTTCAATTTAAAAAAAAGTGTTCTTTCAACCGTAAAAAGCGTTTTGAATAACAACTTTAGGTGCAACTGTACTCAATTGCATTCATTGTGATTTTAACTGTTGTTGGTGTAATCAAAGATAATAACGAGCAGCACAGATCAAAGCTGTCTGTGTCTTGAATGAACGACGATTTCTTCGAGAAATTACGACAACACATTTATTCGTACCACTTCAAATTCAACTGATTTAACTGCGGAAAAGAAAAAAATATTTTTTTCTTCACAATTATAAATTGCGAGTGCGAGTGCGTGTGTGTGTTGCTATCTGCTCTATAAGTGGACAATTTATGCGTGTTTTGTGAATGTGATCATTAGAAAATCATTTTCTAAATTCATCTCTCGTCGGACGGGCTCGATTTGCCAGCATTGAGTTCGAGCAACGGGCATAGTAACAACGTACAATTCAACATCACCAACCGCAACGATCGCACCAACAACATACAAATCAACCAACTATGTGTAGCTCAATGTATCGTCGATTTCAATATGAAGTATGTTTACGATAGAAGAAACCATTTTTTTTTTTCAATGAGAAAATTAATAACCGATGAGTTTGTGTTATGCAGCTAGTGTATACGATATTTATGCATATGTGCACCGAGCGGTGTACATTCCATCGAAAACCTACTCCCTTCTACTCAACGCCATTCACGCGACCACAACAGTGAGAGAAGTGAATGTGTAAAACGCAAGCTGCATGTGTTTGTGTCATCTTGTGCATTCAGTGTTTACCTTCGTTTTTTTCACATTTGCTTGCATTTTTTGTTCTTCTCTCTCAATTTCATCAGGTCTTGGTGACCTCACGTTAAATTCTAGTGACGACATTTATTCGAAAACGCAATTCCACCATGTACATGTTGCTCAATGCAAGTGGTTAATTGAATTAGCCTGTTTCTACGGATAGTCATATGATGAAGGGAAAAAAATTACGCTCTGCTGAACCAGTTTTCTGCGTAAATCTTTCCATTCTGAACGCAATTCTCGAGGCGACCGAACGCGTGCATGAGACATACGATAACAACTGTGAATTGATGGGCTTCATCGAATTTTCTCACACTGTCAATTCGAAATATAAGCTTCAACAACGACACACACACATATGTATAATTTATACATCGTTCAGTGAGTGTTCGATTCTGAACGGAAAGAAAAACCGGTTTATAAATAGTCACACAATGTTTTTGTAGCAAATGCGCAAATCACAAGATTCACAACACATTCCGTATCTATACATATATAATATATCCCACCAAATATGCGACTTTTTCTGTGTATACATATTCGCACAGAACAAACAACAACAAGAAGCAACAACAATCACAACGAATACAGAAAAAAATCAGCCGATTTATTTTCGGCGAATGGTCAAATGTATGCAAATCACTGCGACCGAAAACGAAGCCTTCCAAATGTGATCGTCAAAAAAAAATCAATCTCATTGTAATGGTCGTCATTATCTGTGTGAACTCTATGAGAATTTTTCGTACGATTCTTCTAATGAAAGCGACGCATATTCTTTTTCGCTTCTACGACACGCGCGAAGCTATAATTTGAGGTATATTTTCAATCCCAATTCAAATTCTTAGTTTCTCCGCATATTTGAGTCATACAGATATTATGGTAATCAATCGACGTACATTCAAAAATGAAATGTTTTCGGAAATTCCAATTAAATCATAAATTCTTTGCATGTGTGCGTAGCCAAATTTGAATATTTTTAGCATTTTAATCTACTTTATGTGTCGTAATCGTATTGTTATTTTCTAGAACATCCACATTTGTAACACATAAAAATGGTGGAGCCAGTGCATCACATATGAAAAAAACATACATATTGTGATTACACATAGTCTTGTCATTTGCTATCGTCGCCTTTGATGCTCCCAGCAGTGTTGTTATGTCAATAGCTTTGTGTTTTTATTTGTGCGGTTTGTTTTTCTGCCACAGTGTGCAAATACGATGAACAAAACAATCAACTTGAAATATGCTTATTCATATTTGAGGTTCATTGAAGAAAAAAGAAGAAGAAAACATTCTCCAACAACAAAAACAACCAAATCAACGAAGCTCATGAGAACGTCATTGTTGTCAAAGTTGAATTTGAATGTCAAAAGCGCAATTTTATCAATGACAACCGATACACAGCTCTCTCTTCTCTACCCTTTATCTTCTCTCTTCTCAACCATACGGTTTTCGTGACAATGGAGAAACAGCAGTGATAACAATGCTCTAGCGTCGTCGTCGCTGGATGATAGAATAAGTGCAAAACAAACAAAATACATGTGAAATATTGAGTTTGTTTTCCTATTTTGCGCAGAAACGGTAGCGCTTTTTTTCTTTCCGTGAATGTCACCGTCTCTTTGTTGGAGATTCGAAAATTCGAGCGTTTTCTTTGAATATTTCATGAACGATGCAGCACCCGGAGAATTGATGCATTTACTTTGAAACCAATGATGAGAGGCATCTCTGAGATTAATTCTATAGTCAGTTCAGCAATCGAGAAAAAAATCATTGAACTTCACATATATTTTATCAACTTCATATCATATAATAATCAAAGTAATAATACTATTACTTTCTCTGGGTTACGTTATCAGCAAATTAACATGCCTGTTATCAAAATCAGTAGTTTTCTGCAACGGAAACTGCTAGGGAGTCTGTTGTGATTAAAGTGCGACTAATAGAACATTTTATACATATAACCGGAGTTCAAAGTTTGATAGCCATCCTTTTTCATTCACTCCACTGACGTTGATTCACTTTCAGCGATAAAAATAATCGAGAATGAGTCATAAATTATTGCTGTTGTCCTAATCACGGTCATTTTTTTCGTCATTGACGTAAAGCTCATGAAAATATAACCGAGAAGAATATTGCGGTATTGAAAAACAAAAACAAAGTTCATAATCAATAATCTTTGAGTAAATGGGCTTGATTTGTGGCTATGGGCGTAGAATAAGACAAAACAAAAAATGTGTTTCCGAACCGAAACTTCAGTCGAAATCGATTGCCAAGCTAATGAACTATCGATTACATAATGGAAAATTCCCTCTCGACATCGAAACGAAACGCCAATCAATTGGAACGTCTTTTTACGTCTCTTCTCAACTGAAACCTCTTTTTAATGAAATGTCTTAGATGCACTTTACATTTAAATTGTAAGCAATCAATTAATTAAATGTCATTCGCCTAGTTGGAGTTTGAGATGCGCACATTACAACCGTCCGTTTACACAGAGACACTTGATAATTTTCATAAAACAATTTCAGTGTCATTCAATCAATCAGCATTGTAATTCAGTTGAATCGGTGTCGATTTGATCGTTAGCTGAATTCTGGCTAATTTACACCGTTGTTTAAATAATAAATGAAAAGAGAGAGAGAGAGAGAGAATATTGAACAAAATAAACTCACAAATGAAATAAAATGGCGAGGCGTGCGATGCATTCCATTTCGCTGTTTGGTTTATTGACTTGAGCATGTTTTCATATTCGCCAACATCGACGCGAAGCATTTCAATTGTGCATTTGGTCGATATGCATCGGATATTCTGATAGCAATAAAAATAATAACACCCCTATCGAACATCCTGTTTTTTGCTTGCAATAAAAAGGGACATGAAAAAAATGTGATCTAAATTGAAACGACGCCCAATTGCGATATGAAGAAGAAGAAGCAGAGAAAAATGATGAAACTAAATGGCAATGCGTTTTATTGATTTTTATTTTTTACATCTATGTATATACACGTATCATCGCTTGAGGTTAGTTGCGCCACAATTGGCATCTTCGTACATTTGTTTTGGTTGCTAAATTCATTCACGAGTGGACTCTGTCCTGTCGTCAATTTTCGATTCCACAATCGAAATTGGCTTCAAGTTGTTTGTTTATTAAAACCGCAAATCGTACACAAACACACATATAAAGGGTGTTTCAACAGGGACGCAAAAAGTTTTCCAATAGGGACAGCATGAACGCTGACCAGAACTGTCAAACTGATATGTCATTTGGAGGCGTCAGTCTTTGGCAAATTTAACCATGTCAACATTAACAAAGGATCAACGCGTTGAAATCGTAAAATCCTACCACGAAAATAGGTCTATTTTTCAATTTCCGAAGAATCAAAATATCATGTTAAAATCTGGCTTTTTACACCTCAAAAACGTTTTTTCTCGTTTTTTTTATTCTTAAAAGTTTTTATCTAAGCTTGAGCCGAAAATTCGCCTCAATAACAAAAGCAAAATTCCGCACCGTTTTTGAGATATAGCCAATAGGCCGTTTTTGGCCATCATGGCCAACTTTGGCCAATTTTACAAAAATGGCTTTGACAATTATTGAGTTTGATACTTTTAAATGACAGCTGGGGACACTAATTGTTTAGCCAGATCGATTCAACAATGAAATGTCCTTGAAAAACCGTCAAATAATAACTTAATCAGAATTAAGCTTCAAAAATGACAGAAAATTTGTGCGCCAAATGCATAGGTTGGTTACTCAAATCACAAATTTCACAAAATTGGACCATTGTTTTGGCTATTTGGCGATACATTATTTCATCGCGAGTGCCGTAGCTGCGTTTTTAGGTGTGTAAGTCCATATTTAATGCATTTTTTTACCATTAAAAATGCCATTTTTCAACATTTTTTGGTGAAATTTTTCCTCTAAACAGGCCACAATTAAAATGCGCCATACAGGCCGTTTGCATAAAATTCACTTTCATACATAATTGCCATAGACCAAACTACATAACACAATAAAAATTTGGACAATTGGAATTTAATTTATGTGTTTTTTTATCTAAAGTTTTTTGCGTCCTTGTTGAAACACCCTTTACTTGAAGCACATACTCAAACGGAACTAGTCACGGATTTTATTTTCATTCCATTCGCGGATATAATTGCTTTTCGTATGAGTCAAGTGCTTCCAATAATAAAAGTTTTTATCTTCAACACTGATCTATTGATTGTTTTCTATTCCGTTCTACTTCTGCCCGGATTTTGAACAACTTTTTGTACCAGTTTTGAACCGAAAAAACTTCAAAATGTATAAATTGAACCAAATTATCCAGTCGAAATTTGTTTGGTCAAATTGAGAACCGTATTTTTTTCGCGCGCTCGTACTCTGATGCGACAATTGTGCGCCTGACGATCACGCGAGATGCGTTGCATAACTACTGTGTTTACTGTTTAGTATCATTTTGAAACTGAATGTCGTCCGTTCTTATCGCGAACGAAATCATATATTCGTACAAGAAATTTATCTCAATTCGTTTGGTGGTGTAAATCATACAAATACATAGATCAAATAGAACGAAGTAGTAACGTTCTGATAAATTGTACACACGGATGTATGACAAACGGCTCGCGCAAAACCATACAATTGAATAAGTTGATGTGAAGTTCGCGCAATCATGACATTAGACTTTCAAATTAAGTGGCATTCGTTGAAACAATGCACGGTTTCACAGCCCAGATCGGGCTGCTTATCGCATTAGTTCAATTACGTATGGCATAAGTCAAATTCTCCGTCTGCGAAGTCAGTCAGCTCAATTTAGTTTCATAATGAAAATCAATGGTCTTCGGATAAATGTGTTCCCGGCCAAAATTCGGGCGCTCATGCGATTGGGCTGTAGTAAAAACAAGTGTAGCAAAATTAGTGATAAAAAAGTTCGAAACCAATATTCATTCGTTTCCATTTGTTTTGATTCAATGAATAATTTTGCGATTCATTCGGTGTGTGTGGGTGTGTGTGGTCATAAATTAATTGTTTGTTTGTTTTGCCATTTGCAGGAAGTACCTGATGAAAACTACGATTTGCCTTATAACCAAAACGAAACCAACGGAGATGCTGTTATGATAAAAATGGATGTGCCCAATAGAGAAGAACCAAGTTTTCCGAAAGAAAAATGGAAAACGCTAACGGGTGAGTGAAAATTCCAAACTATTTTATGTGTATTTCGAATATGTATCCATCTGGTTGGCGTCGATGGTCTCTCGCGTGCATGTAACGCCCTCTCAAATCGTATCGATGGTAATTTATTTTTATGGAAATCGGGAAATTTCATTGACGTAAATGGAACAGAATGGATGAATGAATGACATAAAGCTTGAGCCAATTAGAGTATTTTACGCCATTTGAAAGAAAAAAAAACCGTTCATTAATCTCGCATATGTGTTTGTATGCATATGCCGCCAACATGGGTGGGTGAGACACTGGGAATTTGCAGAGAGAGAGAGAGAGAGAGAGAGAGAGAAAGGAAAAAAGAACATACACCAATTACGATGTTTAAGGGTGCGGTACAAGCGTTTTGAGTTCATAAATGGCACGATATATCAAAGGAATTGTGTGTATTTTCACCTTCAAACCTCGAGTCATGCCAAACAGCAACAGTCATGAGAATAGAGCTTATGTGTGGCCTTTATTTATAGTCCCCATCGACGTCATTCGGCCAGCTTTGTGCTAACTCCTCATTTCAATGCAAAGTGAATTTATGGATTTAATTCGGTTATCAACACAAATTGCAAATAAACACTAATTTCATTGCTCACATTACATTTTCACATTGGAAAAATTACTAATTTCTTCTTATTTTTCCGCTTTTTTCTTCTTTCTCTTGCAGCATTTGTAATATTAGCTGCAAATATGACCTTAGCCACAGTGTCTTTATCTCTAGTCCATGAACGATTACCCGATCGAAAAGCGTATAAACCGCTGCCGGACGTATTTCTCGATAATGTACACGAGGAAGAGTGGGCCTTAAACGTTAGCGAAATTCTAATTATGATCCAAGCCAATTGTTGTATTGCACTAATTACATTTCACAAACATCGGTAAGTGGTTGAGACAAGAAATAAATCGACGAATCAAACTCGTCCGAATAAACTAATGACACTCGTTGTTTTTCATTTTCAGATTCATTGTGATGCGTCGTGTCTTTTTAATCATGTCGATTTTATACTTTTTGCGATCGATAACCATGTATGTCACTGTGCTACCCGTTTCGAGTACGATATACTATTGTAGCCCAAAATCGAACGGAACCAGCATAGTCATTGTAGCGAAACGTGTGTTCCAACTAATGTCCGGTCTTGGTTTATCAATCAATGGCAAGCACACTTATTGTGGCGACTATATCTACAGTGGGCACACCGTTATGCTAGTTCTAGGTTATTTGGTGATATCGGAATGTAAGTGAAACATCTGTAGGGGATGATTTATGGTTGTGTTTTCTTTGTTAAAATTCGTGGAATTCGAGCGACAACATTTTCTGTTCATTAAACCGTAATGAATTGGACGTTGATGATTAGAGACATTTTTTTGGCGAATTTCATCGTGTGAATTTTTCCCAAGAAGCAAATCGAATCTCCCAATGCGTACCGACTAAACATTCGGCCACATTTAATGTCATTACTATTGTTCTAGACTTGCCGCGTCGAATCTCATCACTGCAATGGGTGTCATGGACGATGGCTGCTGTGGGCGTATTTATGGTGTTGCTAGCACACGGCCATTATACAATCGATGTTTTAATTGCATACTACATTACAACACGCTTGTTCTGGACATATCACACGCTCACCAACAACGCATTTTTGATTAAGGTATTGTGAATATAATAATTGATAAAGAAACAACTGCCAACCGCAAAAAACCAACTCAATTTCCATTTGAATTAAAAATTAATTGAATATTTATTTTCTTTTTTTTTCTCTGAACCTGAACACATGTGGTTGCGCGCAGCACGCGGGAGCGAATAATTATCTGGCGCGTGAATGGTGGTTCAAATGGTCACGGTACTTCGAGCAAAATGTACGTGGTCAAGTGCCGAATGAGTTTGAATGGCCATTATCGTGGCCTCGACGATTTCAGCCAAAATTCCCGAATCGTGAGAGTTAACATTGAACCGAGCAACGCTGCCGATGCACCACATACACATTGTCAGCGGCAGCAATATTATCAGCTACACACTCAACAACAACACCTAACAACCAGGAATACACACGATAGCATTAAGTTCAATTTGTAATTTAGTAAACAAAGACAAATCGCGTATTATGTGGAGAAAAAAAAACCAAAACAGCAAACAATGAAATGAGAAATGATGAATTAGCCCCATCATTTTTTGTCTCGAATAAATTTTTTTTACGTTTCGCGCATTCAATATGTGATCACACCGATATATGTATGAAACAAAATCATCAACTCTTTTTTCGTTTCGTTTTGTTTTTGTTGTCAATCCTTCATTTTCATGCAGATTATTCAGAGAAAAAAAGAGAAAGAAACCAACAAATTTGTGTAGAATATGAGAACAGAATATTCTGCAAAAGTCTGATAAAATCGTGATCGACATTCACAGTCACGTTGCAAACGAAAAAAAAAACATAAAACAAACAAATCAATTGCGCATTGTATATCATTAGATTTTATTAGCACGTTAGAAAAAAAAATGTGAATAATGTGAAAATAGTGACAACTATTGGGATAGAAATTACACCCACTTTGTACAAAAGAGAGAAAAAAACAAACAAAGAGAACACACTTCTAATCTGTGCGACTGCTAAACAATCATTTACAATGCCGTTCCGTTGCGCGAAATGGACATACACACAATCAGTTCGCATTACAGAGATACAACTCAACGAAATCTAAATACTTCTAAACAAGTAAACCGAAGTTCAATTTTGATCTGTTCAGTAATATTTATACACATGTTTTGTTTTTGTTTTGTGTACATCGATGAAAATGTCATAAAAGTTTTGTATTCAGTTTAGTGTTCGATTAATTTCCCAACTTATCCTCAATACATAGACACAAACACAATTTCTCTCTATCTTTTGGAAAATTAAAAAGGCGCGCTCATTTGCACGAAATGAAAATGAAGAGAATTTTTTTTTTGTAAAAAAATTGTTGAGTGTTCAATTGAAAATCGAATCGATCGAAAGAGCGAAATTGAGACATATACGGCGTGTTTGATGAACACGGTTCGTACATACGTACATACGTACGTATGGAAAGCCAATTATTTTATGTTTAGTGCGACGACGAGACAGGTTTTTTGTTCAGCTCAAAGAAAAGTTGGCGCACGAAGCGAAGAGAAGAAAAGCCCAATCTTTAAATGAGACAAACTTTAAAAGCATTTTTTGTAGCCTTTTGTGAAACTACTGTATTCAAACTAGTTCACTACTTTTGTTTTGTTTGTAAGTTACAGCAGCGCGACATATTGTCGCCGCCTCGTTGTCAAAAAATAAAACAGAAAAAAGAAAAGAAAACGCCCTGTGAGTGGTAAACACGCCAATGGAAACTCTAATATATCTAATGTAAAAAAGGAAATAGATGCTAAGCTAACAAAGAAAAAGACACGAAACGTGTCACTAGTGTAACATAAATGGATGCTGAAATGAGCAATTCAAAAATGGAAAAAGAAACACGGTTTAGCAAGAGTAAAAGAAATTTTAGATAATTCAATGGAAAATATGGGAAGAGGACACAACAACTGGTAATCTCAGACTAAAAAGATGAGAAGTGTTATGTGATTTACGTTAGAACAGTAACATGATTAAGGGATCCAAAGTGAAACAGACACAGACGTGTGCGAAGCATCTGAATGACGGTTTTAATTGCCGGAGACCAATTGATCCGGAACACTTATAACCACTTCGTCCGTTAGTTAACACACTTCCTCCTCCTCTTTTTTCGACTAATCATTTCACTTTATTACTTTTATTGAAGTGCATATTTATTTAAAATAAAAAAAAAGAAACAAAAAAAAACACTCCCAAAATATATTTGATATTAACGACAATTCAAGTAAAAAAAAAAATACGAAGAAAAATAAAATCACTCACAAATAATAAGAAAAACTTATATCCTCGTTATGAAACTCAGAAAAAAATGAATCACTTTCGTTCGAAATATATTGAAAAGTTGAAATAGAAAGAAAAAATGAATATTATTTTTTGTATCGGTTTAAGAAACTACACCAATTTGGAATCTCGTTAGAAAAAATGATTTCATAATTAGAAGAAACACATTCGTTAATACAATTATCATTTTTACAGTAGGCAAATGTTAAGTTCAATTAATTTTAATAAGGCATTATGTGAAATAGTGGGGCGAAAATCTCTGAATGAAACATATGATATTTTGCTGGCAAAAAGGAATATCCAACGGATTTTCGTCAATTGAACCATTGCGACAAACAAATTCCCTCAGAATATTTTAGTTTCAAAGTGCAACATTCATTTTTTTTTCATATAGAGTTTACAACAACAACTCCATATGAAAAAAACTTTATGTTGCACTTTAAAACTAAAATATTTTGAGGGAATTGGTTTGTCGCAATGGTTCAATAATTGATTTGATTCGTTTTCCCTTTTGTTTTCAAATGGTTTCAATTACAGGTTCTACGTGATTTTTTTTTCGATTAAAACACTGCGTTTTTTTTAGTTTTCCATGCCATACAACGGCACTTTATGTTTCATTTAATGTTTAATTTATTTTTGTTGTTTTCGTGAAAACAAAGAAGAAGAAGAAAACCTAACATGTCGGTGATTTACTCGTAGTTTAGACATGTGAATATAAACACGTTCTTCGTGAGTCATTTGTGAAGTAAAATATACTGTTTACGATATTTCGGATAAAAAAAAATTATTTACGTGTGTTAAAAACAATGCAGATGATCATATAATTTAAGAAAAAATTGAAAAAAAATTGAAAAAAAAGATATTGTTAATCATATATCAACTTTTGGGCAATATATATACCGATAAAAATCATTTTAAATGGGATCATCAATGTTCTTTTTTCAGTGTCTCTCTCACTCACCCGAAATCATTCAACGCATTCAATAAAATAATTAAAGGAGAAAACAGAAATAAAACGAAAACTATAGAATCATAAAACCATATAATCACCACCCGCAACCGAAGAATTGAAACGAATATCGCATCATTCAGTGAATATGAATGACTAAATTTTGTACCAAACTCAAAAGAGAAACACAAAAAAACATATGCCAAAAACGGCCCATTTTTGACCACACTGGACCGAAATCAAGTAAAACCAAAACAATAGTTCTCCATTTCATAGCAATACGTGAAATGTAGCACTACATGGAAAAGCAACAGAAAATGCATGAATAGTACTCAACATATATAATCAGTTCAGTGGTGCGCATAAAACTATTCAAAAAAATAATACACAGTTGTTGGCATATACACACAGATACACAAACACTCCTTTAAAAGCGACAAAGTCATTTTATGAGTAGAATTTGATAATTAATTTTTGATAATTAAAAATTGAAGAAAAACAAACAAATTATAATGAACATTATAGAGAGCTTTATGTGTAAAGAACATTTTATTGTATACAGACAAGAGAAGAAAAAAAAACAATTACCCACAACAAAACGCAAAACGTCGTTTGTGAACATGAAACGAACGTAGAGATGATGAAAAAAGGAGACAAGAAAGAATAACAAACACAAAAAGAGACTAGCAACTGGAACGCGATATTGTCACATGTCATGTCAAACATATAACACTAGTAATATACATTTGTTTTTCTTTATTTTTACTTTTCTGCCATTTTATATACACACATTTAGCTATTGATTAAGAATCTTTTGAAGGAAAAACAGAAAAAACACACTCAATGAATGAGTGAAGAATGAAGAAGAAAAGAAATGAAAATAAATCATATGAAATATGGAAAAATTAATTTGATGGCGTTTTTTTCCATTCCAGTAATTTGTTTATTGGAATTACAAGTTGCCGGGGCACTATTGCCCAAACCATATTGATTTATCGATAATAATAAAACAAAAGTCATTGTTTGATTTCTCTATGATAAATCCTCGACTCAAATCAGCGCTGGTATTTCCGACTCATCAACTTGTTCGCCCGGAATACATGGTCCGCTCACAATGTGCCTGTAATCAACAGCCGTCGTTGGTTTTATGCGGTCATTAATGTGATTATCTGCGGCTGAAACGATATTCAACGTTGGCAACAGTAACAAAATCATAATCACTTTATTATTCAGTTGGAATGGGAATGCTACCATAATAATAATGGTCCCATTATTTATTACTACTGCCAATAATTGACACGATAAATACTGTGACATTTTCGAAAAGAGAACATATTTTGAACCGGTTTAAAATGCTCATTTGTTCGAAAATGTGCTAAACACTTGTTACTCACTCGATTTCTTGATATTTGCATTGCTTTCGGGTGTTTTGATGCTGGTTACATCAAAGCCTAGCTTTGGCATCGTGATCAAAAGATGTCCAGTAGTTTGTGAACGTTTTGATGTTGCGTCACTCATGCGAACCTCTTCATTCAGAGCCATTTGGAAAATTTTCCCCTTCACCGTTATTCGCACGTAATTGGGTTCAATGTCCACATCGATCAAGGAAGTTTCCAAATATCTGATAGAACAAAGTATGACATTTGACCTTTCTATTTCCTGTTGTTGGTCATTCGCACTCACTTGTGTACATGTAAATCCAGCACATAATGATCAGTCAAATCATCGAAACGAAATTCAAGTTTTGGCTCATTAAAACTATACGGTCGTCCGCTATCAGCAAATAATCTACGTTTTGGTTTCTCTGTCGTCACTGTAACGTCTATCTGTTGACTTTTTCGATGTTGATTAGCAATTTCGATGCGAGTCTCAGGGCAATGTTCGCTCGTTTTCTTCCAAAATCTGTTTCAATTGAATGCATCGACAGCAATAAATTACGGCACAAAAGCACAGCACTGAATTAATTTTCGAAAAGTAGTCCAACCCATTTCAATCGCTGATTTTCTTTTAAATCTTAATTGAGAACATTAGCTTTATTGTTATTCTCACCTTTCATTGATCTCATCCTCGGTCAAGCCAGCGTTCTCATTTGCCGTTGCTTCTCCTTCTCGTGCGATGCGTATTTTTTGTTCATCTCGTTTCATTTGCTGTTCAATTTGCTGTTGAATTATCGCTCGTCGACCGTCCACATACTCTCGCTGTGCAATAATTCGATCGCTTCGCTTGACCTCAACACCGTCCAAGCTGTGAATCTGTGGCAATGTGGCGATGACAAAGTTTCGATAGCCACTGTAATTGGCACAATAATTTCCCGTCAAAATCAATTCACGTAAATTGTAGTTGTCACGCAAATTCTCGACACTTTTCAAGCAGCCAATGAAATTCAAGGTCAAATCCAGTTTCGTCAACGATTCAAGTTGTTCCAAATTTTCAATTATTTCGATGTTATTCAATGACAAATTTAAATACTCCAATTGCTTGAGCTTGTGGAGATTTTCGATTTTTGAAATCAAATTACTTTGCAACAACAGAATCTTTAAATTACGACACCAATTCTGAATGTGCTCAATTTTTTCGATATCTTCTTGATGCAACGATAGCTCTTCCAATGTACCGATGATGAGCTCATTGTGTTCCGATTTTTTGCGGATCAACTGTTCGGTTACTGCGAGAGAGAAAGAAAGAAAAACAGCAAATGAAAATGAATTTCGATGGCAGCAGGTGAATTACTTTGAGTGTTTTTTACTCACTTCGGACCATTTTTTCAGTCGGGCGGAACGTTGACGTTTGAATAAAAAATGCGAGTGTTTTACGACGCCATTGTGAATTCGGTTGTTGTTGGATCGATAAAATCATTTACGTGTAGTTTACTTGGATACTAAATCAATAGCCGCATTTACAAGGCAAAAATGTGTCGAAATAAATCACTTGTTGATTACTGTATGTGGAGAATCTTGGGCGGAAACATGCGATCGATAACTTTCAGTGGTGGGCATAAACAATTGGTATATTGTCTTGAAGCAATATATGGATTTAGCTTGCTTGAGTCAAGTTTCTAAGCTCCGCTATTAGGCTGAGGGATTATGATAGAACTCTCGCATTTTGATAGTGATCCAGTTCAAAGTCTCTGTTTGTGACTATTGCCTTGGCAGATTTTTTGTTGTTGTCATTATTGTCGTTCAAAACTTTTCGTTATAAATTTTTGAATCGAAAGGTGGAAATAAAGAGAATAAAAAAAATCAAAGGAAGAAATTATTTATAATTTTGAATAATTTACTTTTGCTATTGAAACGATGAAAGAATCGCTTTTTTGCTATGAATAAACGAGTCTCTCTGAACGACACCATGCATCCGTAACGGAAATCTAACTCAAACATCGCCATGTATTGAAGCTGTGTCAATTGGCGATGTATAAATGAAATACTACAAAAACATGGATCGCCATTGATTTGATTTCAGATAGTTTTGAATCACGCCATTGTTGAAAATTACTTGGAACCTAGAGATAAGCAATCGCAGTGAGTATAAGAAGCACGAGTGAGTATTTTGTACAAACTACACATCCAAGTCTAATTGCTTGGCCGTGAATCGAAAAATGACAACAAATATTACCTGTATAACAGCAAATAGCCGGGGCTTTTTCTCTCTCTCTCTCTTGCTTTCTGAACGAAGACTCACTTCTAGATATAAAAACATACACATCGTTTAAAAACAATAAGACAATCCGGGAGAGATGTAAGATTCGACTCCACGCAAATGTAATTTACCTTTTTTTACCTGGCCGAATCAATCGAGCGCGGCATGCAATTCAAACAATCACTCAGTTTCAATTTTGATTGCTTTCAGTTCAGATTGAGTCTTGTAGCAAATATTTTCGCGCAATAAAAATGACACGGTTATTCTCAAAAAGTGCTCTAGTTCTAGCTACATTCTTGTATTTTAATGGCGTTTATCCAAGTAAATTATCTTGTTTCATACAAATTTCCGAATCTAATTCTATTTTACCTAGGTTTTTGTCGTTTAATTGAATTGATTGTGTTTGTAAAACAGGTGTTCAGGCAAATGTTAGCCCAAAAGTGGATTTTGTCGAAGATAACAACAGTGAGCATGTTCCGCCCAAAATACAGGGCGTTCGAGTTATCGTTGATGCCACCAAAATGAATGGTATATTGAAAATGAAACGATTTTTTTTTTGTAATGCATAGCGTGTGATATTCAATCCTATTTTATTAGAAGACAGTGTCTCTGAGCTGATGATATTAAAAGTAATGAAATAAATTGATAAAAATAATAGAATCGGCTCAAAGACACCGTCTTTTCATTGCATCGATAAATAATATACTGCAGCCCTTGGATTCAATTCCCTCAAGGGAACCTTAGATGATTATTTGAATTGGTTCCTTGTTATTAGTTTGCTCGATTTGCTCAATTCGAATTTTAACTGTATTCGAAAATTTCATGTGAGTTAAATTTGTGTAGTTCAGTGATGGACGAAAATAAATTCGAATGAATCACAACGAATGGGTAAAGGAAAAAAAACGGTAGTTGAAGAAAGATGAAGTGAAACAAAGTTCAAGCAAAGAATACGTTCAGTCACTGAATTTCAGGTTGTTTTGTTTCAAGTTCTGAGTCATTTTCTATTCTAAAATTTTCTTCACGCCTAATCGAATAGGTGTTTTCTCAGCATACAAATCATTCAATTGAACGTGACCGTCGCTTTATGTTTTCACTTTCGCACATTTATGACACACGCGCGCGCGTCAAATTCAATTCCCATTAATTTATGCAATAATTTCACTGTGCAACATTTTTTCGGTCATGGAGGAGAGACTCACTTTTGATAATCGCTGCTGAAAGTACTTACCAAAACTAGAATTTCTGCATCATTCGTTTTGCCAAGTTGGTTCATTGGTGAATTTTAATGAAATTATGTATTTTTTGCTCAAACTGGATTTTGAGCACTTTTTCGATATTTTGAGGCGGCTATATCTCGGTAAACCGTAAGGAATATTGCTTTTGTGTCTTCAGCAAAGTTATAGGTATTGAATGGGAGAAAATGGGAGTTCACGTTATCCGCAGAGACACTTTAACAAAAATTCAAGCGAAAAATATGGAAATATATACAGATATTTGCATGTAATGGGCCAAAATTTCCAACAAAATGGGCATTTTGGTATCAAAGAGTGATTTTGAGCCAAAAAGGTAGATAGAACATGATTTTTCTGGGTTAGTATGTTGAGCAAAGTTGTCCAGTTATACGTTGGCTACAAAATTGCTGAAGATAGTGGCCATAACAATTGAATACGCTGCGAGTTATGGTTCAAAAATGGTAAAAAATGGGCATTTTTGCGGTTTTGAGGCCCTAGATGCCTTTTTTTTGGGGTAAATTTGTTTTGCATTTTTTTTACATTCAATACCTACAACTTCGCTAAAGACACAAAAGCAATATTCCTTACGGTTTGCCGAGATATAGCCGTCTAAAAATATCGAAAAAGTGCTCAAAATCCAGTTTGAGCAAAAAATACATAATTTCATTAAAATTCACCAATGAACCAACTTGGCAAAACGAATGATGCAGAAATTCTAGTTTTGGTAAGTACTTTCAGCAGCGATTATCAAAAGTGAGTCCCTCCATTATGTGTTGCACTGTGTTTGTGAACAAAATAGGTTTTATTCACAAAAATAGTCCTCCTCCGCGACAATTTTCCCAAATGTTGACGTTTTTCATTCATTTCAATTTCTTTCTCAATTTCCCCCTCTTTTCTTGTTTTCTTCAATTTTTCATTTTCTTTTTCTTTTTTCCACATTTAAAACTTTAATCACGAAAATAAAAACGTGCAGGTGGTAAAATGGACGACAAAACCGAAACGATTCGTATTCAAACGGACGGAGCAAAGCAAACAGTAGGTATTCATACGGATATCACATTCGAATTGGATGATAAGAAAAATGGTACAAAGAAAACGGACGGGAAAAATGCAGAAAGTGATGAAGATATAGACGATACTGAAGTGCCCGTGTACCGTGGTTCGCATACTGAAGGTGCCAATCGAAACAATTTCAATCGTCGATACGATCCAAATGACTATTACCAAGCAAATTTCCATGGTACAAACGATGATTTTAAATATGCTGATGCTGGTACATGGGTTCGATTTTTACCAATGGCAAATGGAGGATGGACCACTGAACGGTATTCAGAGAGTTTTATCCCAAATCAAAGTACATGCTAAACTAATGACATTCATTAAAACCACATACAAACCTGGAATGTTCCTATTTCAGATCGAAGATTCCCGTCTGGTGGATTTGTACCGTATGGTATTGGACAAAAATCATTCAATCGACCGTGCATATGTGATGATCGCCCATATTGGAGAGACAATGATCGACGACAATACCGATCGAGTACTCTCAAGCCTCAAGGCACCGACGACAAACTAGAATATCCATTCTCAGAAACCGATTGAATATTCATATCCCATTCTTTCGTATGAAAATGAAGAAAGAATTACATTTTTTCGTTGTTTTTGTTAATTTTTCTAACAAAATGTGTCCATGACATCATTTAAATATCCACAATAAAATAAAATGCTATCAAAGGCCTATTGTGTTTTTATATTCTTTTTCGAAGGAGTTTTTGTCTTGAATAACAATGTTGAATCTGCTGAACTGACATGATTAGTAGATAGTTCAATCAAAAATAACAAAAAAAAACTAATTTTTGTCGAAAACTTTTATTAGGAAAAATTTTCACGATTGAATTTTCACAAGTTTTTGTCTCCGCAGAGACAATTATCTACAAAAAACGTTATACTACTTCAAATTGAAGGGTTTAATAACTGACCGAATAGTGTGACGAATATCCGCTTCCTCCTGGGTAAGAAATAATTGGAGCGGGAACGACAGAGGTCAAACCGCCTGATAATCCCGAAGACGAAGATGAAGATGAACTGTAGTGTGATTGCGACGCGCCTCCCACTGGATAAGCACTGACAATTGGGGCTGAAACAATCGGGCTCATTAAATCTCCCGATAATCCCGAAGACGAAGATGAAGATGAAGATGAACTGTAGTGTGAATGCGACGCGCCACCGACTGGATAAGCACTGACAATTTGGGCTGAAACAATTGGAGCTGAATAGCCTCCCAACAAACCTGATGACGAGTGTGATGATTCACTGAAGTGTGATGATCCGGCTGGGTAAGTAGCTAATGGTGCTGAGATAATTGGAGCGGTGACAATCGGAGCGGTGACAATCGGAGCGGACACAACTGGAGCTGCAAAAGCACCTCTGCTTGACAATGAACTGAAGTGCGAAGCTGATCCCGTGGGGAATGTTACAATTGGAGCTGACAAACCACCGGCGGATCCTTGTTTGCTGAATGATTCGCTGTGCGAGTATCTGGATGAACCACCTGATGGCGCAGTGTAAGCAATGATTTGTGGTGCTGCAGCTTGGCTTGAGTGTGATTCACGGTATGAGGACGAACGGTGTGAACTACCACCACTTGGAGCAACAATTGTCAATGTGGTTGGAGCAGCTTGTGACACTTTTTTGTACTGTAAATAATGAGGAACAAGAGAATCTTGTGTAAAGGTGGGAATACACCTTGCAAGTAAAATGCTTGCAGCAAGCATTTTTTTCCAACGTACTTTTGTATTCGATTCTAAGAATGACACTTGCATGCAAGTAAAGTACACTACCTTTATACATTAGTGTAAATTTTGGTCAATATTTATTTCCAAATGTCCACGAGGTAGGTTTATATGATCGATTTTATAAAGATATTTAAATATTCGAATAAATTCGATAATTTTAGCACTATATGTTCTACTTTGTGGGCAGTAGCGCAAAAATTTCGACCAAATTGTATGCAAGTGAAGTACTTGCACGCAAGCATTTGCAAGCACTTTGCTTGCATGGAATTCTGTTCCATATTTTCGTGTATACGTCCACAAAGTAAATTGTACAGTGATAAAATGATCGAATTTCTTTGAATATTTAAATATCTTTATAAAATCGATCATATGAACCTACCTCGTGGACATTTGGAAATAAATATTGACCAAAATTTACACTAATGTATCACACTACCTTTACTTGCATGCAAGTGTCATTCTTAGAATCGAATACAAAAGTAGGTTGGAAAAATTTTTTTGCTTCAAACATTTTACTTGCAAGGTGTATTCCCACCTTAAATTGAATTGTTCTTTGAGAATAAATGTAAAATTGAATGTTTTTGAACGAGATTTGACCTTTGGATTTGTTTCATCTTTTTTTTTCTTTGTAAGTTTAATTTTCTTTCAAATGGCGTTGCTTACTTGACTGCTTGAGTAGTGTGAGCTTGAACCGCCTGATGGGTATGAAATCACTTGTCGAACTACTGGTGCGCTTGATTGTACAACTTTTTCCGAACGGTGGCTGTAGCTTTTTGATCCACCGGTTGGATACACGACTGGGATGACTGGTTGAGCTGCTGCTGATTCAACAATTTTTTCTGAGTGTTGGCTGAAACTTTGAGAATTTCCTGATGGGTATGAAACCACTTGTTGAACGACTGGAGCTGATGCTGTCTGTGAAGATTCGCTGTGACTGGTATAACTTGATGATCCACTGTTATCACCGACTGAAACGGCGGCTGGCACGGCAACATTTTTGGTTTGACTTGATGATGAAAATTCCGATTGGCTTGATTCGTCTCCAGCAACTGGAACAACGACTGGGATTTGAGCATCATTTGACTAAAAATAACGATGGAAAATAAATCAAAATAACTAAAAAAAGTGACAATTAAATGGGAGATTGAAAACCAAAACTGCCACATACCGACGAAGAGAACTCTGAGGCAGATGATGATGAACTTGATTCTCCACCCGAAACTGGCACTACAAAGCCAACACCGTTTGAATTATGTAACAGGTCCACGTCCGATGATCCATAAGTACTGCAAATATAAATGTTATCACTTTCGAACGTGTATTGAAATTATCACAAATGTTCAAATGTACAAAGCACAAAGACACCACAAATCTGTTATCAATTTGACACAGCGAAAAATTATGTAATCAATGTCAGGAGTTTGGTTTCACATGTGGAATTTTCACTGTTCTATTTTAAATTAAATTGAATGTCGAAATTGTTCTCGATTTTCACATTAATTTATATAGAATGAAACTTGCTTTGAATATTTATGAAATATGTTACAATTATTAGCATTGAAAATTATTCACAAATCGTATATTGATTCTTACTTCTTGCATGCTTCGCAAAGTTCTTCAAACTGAGGTGCTGTAAAATTAAATAAAAAATGTTTTATTTCGTTAAAAATTTGGAATATAGAATAGTTTTTCTACTTGAGAACTAAGTCCGTACCAGCAAAAACTGCAGAAAGGCTTAAAGCCAGAATGATGAAAGTCTTCATTTCTTCTAGTGATTATCGAACCTAAAATTCAATGTATACTCGCTAAATGCTAATTCTATATTAAAACGAACTCAAGGAACCATTTCGGTTAAATATTGCCAAAATTCCATGTGTAAGATCGTCTTGTGAGCCGATTAAGCGCGAGTTACTTTGACCTGTTGATAACCACCAAAACTGATTAGAAATGATATTCAGATCTTCAAAGCTTTAGCATAGTTTTACCATCTCAAAGTTTATTTCTTGAAAAGAGTTTTCACTTTTTGTAGTAAAAATAATGGTAAAATTTGAAAAAAAACCTCATATTTGTGAAATAGAGACTGTGTTTTTTCGGTATCAATATAGAGTGTACTATTTTTTGTTCTTCTATTCTTTACACTTTCTTTCCGAGTTAACGGCCACTAAACAATTTCAAGTTTATCTCGTTGAATAATTCACAATGGCGCAATTAGCCGAAAATTACAGAAAAATAATTAATTTTATTATGTTTTGGAGTATTTTGTGAGTGACAAAAACAATCAAGACCTATAACTTATGTAATTTTCGAATATTCATGGATAATTGTTTAAACAAAGAAAAAGATTCGTTCTGTATGTTATTCGTGATAAAAATGGTTCATTTTATCATTTGACCCAGAGCATAAAGAAGAGTTTAGAAGAAAACATTAAATCACATTTGAAATACTATTGCCCGATGTCGAATCTGTCAAATCTATGCGTCAACTTTGAAACATTAAAAATAACACAATATTTTTAGATTTTTACACGATTTGAAACGCATAAATCTCATTTTGATTGATCTTATTGTGTTGCTTTTTTACATTCTTTTTTTAGTGTGTTACCTTACACTGCAGTGTAATACATTTTTAAGACAGTTTTAACCAATTAATTAAAACTAAATCTTTTCTCTTCGAAAAAAAAATCAAATTTTTAGTGAATTTTTAAACGAATTTTATTTAAGACATCATATAATTTTTTTTTCACAATAAAACAAATGCAATCGAAATCTTATGCTGTTAATTGCTGTTGGTTAGTGTTAATTTCTTTTAAATTGAGATACTAAAAAAAAGAACGATTTTTTGTACGCTCTTGACAGATAGAAACAAATTAAAAATGTATGGTCGATTTCATTCTTTTCCCCTTGGTTGGCTTCTTCTCCTGGTTAAATCGAAGGTAATCGATTAAGATATTATTTGAGCGTCTTATGGAGTGTGGATACTGTAGGTGCTGCGTTTGCCATCATCTTCGATTGTTGTTGTTGCTGCCCTGTAACCCGATGATTTTCCATCAACGGTTTGATCTTCACCTTCGGCTGTCGACAAGAAACCGCTGGTCTTTGTTTTACCGGCGGAATCGTACTGCAATTTTCGAAAAAATAAATTATTCATTCGTATTTAATTCAAGCTTCAGTCAAATTAATCCATAGAGGGGGAAGAAAAATAGACTTACTTCAGTTTGTGATGACCATTTGGAGCTCTTTTCCCATGATTTGGTGCGGCTGCCTGATGCCGGTTGAACGACAGCTGCATTTCCAAAATCAGCGGTTGTAGTGCCTTTGTATCCGTGTTGTCCTTGAATGTTTTGGGCTTGCAGACGTGCCAAACGTTCTGATTCACTCATGTAATGGCCCAAGTTTGATGAAACACCTGATCCGAATGATGATGTTGAACCGAATTCTGAACCGAATTCCGAACCGAACCGTGAATGCAAGCCTCCCGATGATGGGAAACCAGTAGAGATAAAACCAACATTGCCACCCTGGCTTCCACTTGATGCGGAGCTTGATTCACTGAATTGTGACGATGACGAGCCACCACTGGGGTATGCAACAATAGGGGCTATATAACCACCGTGGTTTCCGGTTGATGATGCGCTGTGGAACTGCGATGATGATGAGCCGCCAGCAATTGGATAAGTAGCAATAACTGGTGAACCACCTGATAATCCTTCGTTGCTTATTGATTCGCTGTGCGAGAATCTGGATGAACCGCCTGATGGAGCAGGATATGTAACGATTTGTGGAGCAGCGGCCTGGCTTGAGTGTGATTCACGGTATGAGGACGATCGTTGCGAACTACCACTTGAGACAGGTTGAGCAACATAGGTGGTAAAGGTGGTTGGAGTCGATTTGATTTCAGAGAAACGGGATTCTGTGAAGTGGGCTGATTGGCCACCGCCTGTGGTGATTGGAATGACCACAGTTGGATTGGCTTGTGAAACTTGTTTGTACTATAAATGGAAGAAAACATAAAAAATTTAGAACAAAAACCATTTTTCAGCTCGACTATTCTGAATTTGTTTTCTATGAACTTCTTTTTTTAAATGAAAATTCTAAATTGTTGAAATGTTTTTTTTTCCTTTTTTTCGAATAAGTGTCAACTTACTTGGCTGCTTGAGTAACGTGAGCTTGATCCGCCAGTTGGATAGACTGGAGCAATGACTGGGGCTGCAGCAGCACCTTGGTGGTAGCGTTCGCTATGTGACGAGAATGATGAACCGCCCGATGGATAGCTAACAATTGGTGCAAGTGGAACTCCTCCGCTCGATGAAGTATACCGTGATTGACTGAAATGTTCGGTACCGCCAGTTTGTGATGGGAATACGGGCAAGTGGACAACTTGAGGTGCTGATTGAGATGAGACAACCTTTTCTGAACGATGATGGTAGGACTCTGAACCTCCTGATGGATAGGAGATTGGAATGACGGCAGGTTGTGCGGCTGATTCGATCACTTTTTCTGAATGATGGCTGTAGCTGCTTTCCGAACCTCCTGACGGGTAAGAAATCACTTGAACGCCTGGATTTGATACACTTGAACTACTTTCTTGGTGTCTGTTGTAGCTTTCGCTTCCACTGCTACCGCCAACTGGAATGTAGACTGGGGCAGCTGCGTCGGTTTGGCTTGATGAGGATGAACTGTATTCCGATTGGCTTGAACCACCGCCAGCAACTGGAACAACGACTGGGATTTGAGCTTCATTTGCCTAATAAAAGGAAAAAAAAATTGATGAAATCAATGAGGCAAACAAGGAAAATCCAACTATTACCGTTGATAAAAATTCATTCACGGATGAAGAGCTTGACTCTCCTCCACCTTGGAGTGGTACCACATAGCCCACACCACCTGAAGTGCTATGTGCTTGTACATGTCCCTCTGACCTGTTAAAAATAAATTTTGATTTGAATTATCGGTATTCAAATTATCAGACAGATTCAAATGCAACGATGAAAAATTCCCTGTCTTAAATTGGATGCCAAAAAAAAATCATTCACTATCTCACAAAATGGCAAAAGCCAAAAACCGTTATCACTTCACGCAATTTCAAAGTCATGTCCAAATTCGACAGAGCAAAATGTCACGTAACCGATTACACCAGCTTATTAAGTAAAAGTTTATTAAGTCAGCTTTTATCGGTTTGAATTTTTTTTTTTTATTCAACTTTTTTCACAATTTTTCCCATTTATTCAATTCAAATTTACACTCAACGCAATTTTATTTAAACATTTTCACTGAATATTTTTGTCAATGCGCGATGAAAAATTACTCAATTTATGATATTATGTATTAATGACGTTGAGACGATTTTTTGCCACTTTCAATTTTTTTATCCCGTGGTTTCGTCTTACGTAGCCGTGACCACATAATTTTATTTAGAAATTGGATAAAATCAAAAAAAAGAATGGAAAAAATTTCAAAAATTTCTTACGCTTCGCACAGTCCGCAGAGTTCTTCACTTGGTGTAAGAATTTGTTGGGTGTCGGTAGGTTCGAAATTTTCTAATCTAGCTTTGGCTCCTTGACGGGCTTTGGATACCGATTCTGAGTGTTGCGCATAATGAGTTCTGTAACAATGAAGTTCATTCAATGAACAAAAGATTTTTTTTGTATTATTTTTCTTCAAAAACTTACGGATCCTCAAATTGTGGCGCTGAAAAATGGAATTGATTCAAAAATTCAAATAATTAAAAATTCGATATTTTAATAAAAACAATGATTGTTTATTCGTAATGCATTAAATTCGTACCAGCAAAGACTGCGGTAAGGCACAGTGCCAAAATGATGAAAGACTTCATTGTCTTCTGTGTGACTATTCGAACGGATCAACTTAAAATTCGATGTGTGCCCACTAAACGTTAATTATAGACTAAACCGAACGGAGGAGACAGTTTTCAATTAAATATTGCAAAATCCTTGCGCGTTCGGCAGCATCGATCAGATTCGGCCGACACAGCCGAATAAAAATGATTCTATAATGAGAATTGATAAAACGCCGATGAAATAAAAGAATGACGACGATGACATCGACGACGTCGGTTTTGGCATGCTTCGTGACAAGGGAAAATAATCTTTGACCTGTTTACTATCACAACGCAGACGATGTAGTACATGGACGATTTAAATAATCAGTATCATGTTTTTTTGAATCAACAAATCGAAAACACAATGCCACCAATCAGAATGTTACAGCGATTTTTTTGAATGAATTATTATTTGTTAGGCGTCGCATTGAATTTGTACCATCGACTAGAAAATGATTCTTGTTCAAATTGAATTTTGTTATCAATTTAGTTTTCATTAGAAACAACTTCCGAATTTTTGTGTTGTCAGAGTAGTTCCTTGAGAATGAACGAACTTCTGCTTCACAAGTCCTTCACGTTCATTGTTTTTCCCACTGAAAAAGAAATTTCCCTCAACCGATTGCGAATCAATAATTAGAGAAAAAAAGTTAATTTGTTTTGGCTATTGATGAAAATTGAAGTTAAAAAATCAACGACGTAATACGATTTGAAATATCCAATCGAATAAAATTGTATGAATATTGGCCCGATAACCTCTCGCAATCATTCATTGCGATGTAATTATATTTTAAATCAAACTCAAGTTGACCAAAAGAAAAAAAGCAGAAGCGTCGCTCTCTTTTGCTTACGCTATCGCATGTTTCATGTGTTATTTTTCGCTTCGAAAAAGTAGGCGCTCGAATGAAAAACAACTTGCGAAATTCTAAGAACCGATAATAATGAATGAAAAATGAAAACTACTGCTTGTGCCGCGTTAATCGGTTCTCTGAATTCGTAACTATGAGCTCATCGATTAATAAATCGACTGAGAACTAAGTGAGCATCTGCTTTTGTTGTTGTTTTGATTATCATTTCATAACATAACAAAGAGTAAGAAAAAATAAACACAAAAAAAGAACGTGTCAAATTTATGACCGAGTAAAATAGCCGTGTATTACTAAATTCGCTCAAAATAAAAGCATTGAAAAGATTTTTTTAAATTTAAAAATAGAAAAGAATAAAAGAAACTACGATATAGAAAATAAATTTTTTTCGCTTCATCACACGCTGACTGAAGCTGATGCGTCATCACAGATTCGTGAGAATGAACACAGACATCAATTTTCGACGGTGTGCGTTGACACTTTTCCGTTGTCATTGATAGTGGTTGTGGCAACTTCCTTGTGCTTTTTCACACCGTTCACATCGGATGAGCTCGAGAAAGATGATGTTTGGATTCCAAAATAGCCGGATGGTGCATTGCCAGCGACATTTTCACTTCCATCGAAACGAGTGTCCACATTTGGCTTGTTCTGGAAAATAGAACGGACAATTAAATAGAACGGACATTTGAATATCCGTTTGAAACCCAAAATTAAACCAAAAACATGAAAATTTCATTCAAAATACGAAAATTTCAATTTTTCGAACGAATCATTTAAATGATAACAAAATATACATTTTATTTCAAAACGAAATCGTTCAAAATCGGAATGTGAAAAAAAACTTCATCTAAAAATCAAACATTTCGTCTCAATTGAAACTAGTTCATACTCACTTTGTTTGGTGGGAAAACGCCGGCCGTTTGTTGGAATCCATTAGTTGGGTTGTATGCTCCAGTTGCATAGGCATAGTTTGGACTACCTCCGTATCCATTTTGGAATGGTGAATTCTTCCATGTGTTCAACAGTTCTTGTTGTTGTTTGTAATAGCTAAAAAAAAAATAAACACACGCATCCGGTTTAAAAAGATGTTTTCGAAAGTGATTTAGCGTCTAAAAATATCGTGTGTATTGTTATCGCCATTTGATGGTAGTGACATGCAAGCGAAATGCAAATGGAAGGTGCGTATTTTCGGGCGTTATGCTTATCAAATTCCAGTCTTTACTCATGCTCAATGTTCGCAAACATAATTTTCATTTCAATTTTAAAATTGTCGAAATTATGAACACACCAAAGTGAATGAAACACGAACGTCGTTCTTAAAATTTGATAAAATGGCTTGCAAATGAAATTTTGTTGTTAACAATGATGAAATATTCAAAGCTTCTACGGAAATAAAGAGAGAGAGAGAGAAAGCGAGAGAGAGAGCGAGTAAATCATATTGACGTGGTGCTCGTAATTGTCGAACTATATCAAGGCAAATAAAGAGTGTGTTTGTGTGTTGTGTGCTTGTGCAAAAACCAAGACGAAATTTGAATAAGAAAAAAACATATTTATGTACTTAGTTGGCCCAAGATAAGAGCTTGCAAACGCTGTAGCTCCAGGCGTTGACTGTGCAACACTTCCTCCTCTATGTTAACATAACAACAACAATTGTTCATGATTTGTTTTTTCGTTTGAATAATTAAAAAAAAAAAATTAAGAAATTTCTAGAAAAATATCGAATGATGAAGAATTTGACGACAAAAAAAAGTTACATACGCGGCATACTGTTGTTGAAGTGAGTTCAAATATTGATTGAACTCTTGTGGTGTTGCAATCTGTTGGTATGGTGCAAATGGTTGAAGAGGTGGCAATGGTTGGAATGGTTGTATTGGCTGGAATGGAGAATTGAATCCGAAATTCTGTGGGAATGGTGTAAATGCTGGTTGATTGCCATATGGTCCGTATGGGAAGCCTGCTTCAATAACAAAAGAAAAAACATTCATCACAAATGAGTGAGCATCATCACAACAACAATGTGACCGAATCGACATGATCATAAATTCAAGTATGACTTGCCTGGGCTATAGTTAACTCCAAATCCTGGTTGGCCAAAATTAGCGGGACCATAAAATGGGCCCGGGAAACCACCGGTTTGTGTCACACTGCCACCGCCCGGTTTATTTTGCGTATGAGTGTAGGTTCCTTGTCCATTGTTACTGCTCCCTGTAAAAGTATGGCCTGAGCCATCACCATTGCTGCTTGAGCTAGAGCCGGCCGAAGAATAGCCTGTCGAAAAAATATTCAAAATATTATTCATGTGTCTACATTTCTATAAAATAACAGACAATGTTGTTGTTTTTGTAATTAGATATTCAGATCGTGTCAGTCATAAATTGTTTCAAGTCTTTATTAAGCTAAACGAATATTTCGGCCGCCATTCGAAATTCGAGTTCAAGGTTAACGATGATTTTTTTTTAAAACATATGGACTTGATGTGTGTGTGTTTCTCGTCAGCATGAGCACAACACGATCTTTGTATGCTGCGACCAAGCGACAATCATATGGCGAGATTACATGCGCATTGCGTAAACAGGCTTTTCATTCATAATTATTGATTAAAATTCTGTCAAATACGTATTCCATTGGAATATTTGCTGACATTGATCCATAAAAAACTATTCTCAATGGAAATCAAGAATTATTCAGTTTGTACTTCGAAAAAGGCCGACTCAACCTAATTTCGAGTTGAATAAAGTGTCAATTCTGTTCTTTTTTAGAGGAAAAATAATGTTTAATTTATTATCTGAGTTTTCAATAGCCCGAAATTTATTTACCGACATCCAAAAACGGGAACATTTTTTTTTTTTGGAGAAAACACAAAAAACATTGAACGAATCGAATGAACTCAAAACCATGACTTCATCGGTTGAAACTGATCACTCTCCATCGGAATAGTGAATAAAAATACTTACCACATTCAACTCCAGTTGATATAAAAATGGCTAAAATGCCAAAGACTGCAAGCGGAACCATGTTTATTATTGTTTCAAGTTGATTAAATTTCACCGCAATAACCTGGGAATGAGAAATCTATCTATTTTTAGTAATCATTTAAATGAACTGAATGTAAAAATTGTCAAAATGCTTGTGTTCTTCGCCAAGAGATTGACTTGACTGAATTGCCGACAAACAAGAAGATGAAGCAAATGCAATCGACCGGTTTTCCTGGAGTTCACTCGCATTGAGCAAATAGTCTAAACAAGTTCTGTTCTATTTTAAACATTGTTTTCGGTTTCTATTCTTTGTATGCATAACAGCTTAACTGCTAAGCCTTAGCATGCGAGTGATCTCGTGTCTTTACATTGGAGAAATGCGGAGTTCAATGTCATTTCAAGTACAATAGTTTGATTAATATGGAGATAAACCAAAATAATAGAATTTTGCTGTTTTATTTCGTTGATCAAAAATTGTTTTTCGGAATTCCCCAAAACAAAAAGACGGAAGATAAGTGTGCCTGATCAAATGAGATCATAATGTCAGTGTACGAATAAGGATTGGAATACGAAAGCAAGAATCATTCAGAAGTGAGCATTTGCGTTTTGTGAAATCACGTCTTTGCTATGAACGCTGGTGAACAACCAGCGAAACAACTGATACATACTGATGATATTGTTTGTCTGGTGGACAAAGAACCATTCAATCACACTTTTGTACGTTCACTTCATATGCTCATTCTTTGACGCATCGCTGGTGGACTAATGGATGGGCGAGAGAATGAGATGCAAATAAGAAACCTGATATGATGTCAGTGATGAACTAAACGCGTATTTATTTTGCAAAATCTTCCGATTCTGATTACGTATTTTCTACTAAATGGTCGATCTGTTCTGTTTTTTTTTCAATTTTCAATACAAAACGTGTGTGGCCTATTTAATATAGTCAGAGACAGTTTGATGAGAGCGTCGTTCAAGTGGTTAACGGTACATCACACTCATTATTTTATTTGCATATTGAGAACGGTAAACGAGACACACAAAAAAGTCAATGCTATCGCTTCATATTAATCAAATCAATTTACATTTTATCAGCCAATATTCTGATATATTTTTAATGTTTCGATTTACATGGGGTTTTTCTTTGTTTTGATTAAAATTTTGCGATTTTTTTCTTGGAATGCCACATGAAGTGCATAAATCATTGACATAACAGATATTGTTGTACTTTGATTTGTTGGAAAAAATTCCAAAAAATTCGCACTTCAACACTAAATTTCACACAATTACTCACTTTTTTCTTTTGTTTCACCAAATCTTGTCAATTTTACCCAAAAATCTGCACAAAATAATAAGAAACAAACAAACAAAATTAAATAAAAATTCAATCCACTTGTTGAGTTTCGTCAAAACAGCACGAGAAAAAAAGAGAACTCACAGAAAGTACGAAATCACGTTTGGTCACGGGCATTTATCGAATATAAATAACACAGCCGATGAAACTATCGGGCTATATCAAGTCTAAACAGTGTGACAAGCATTCACCATATATTCACTTGGCGCACTTCATACGTACACAAACAAACACGACGAAACACACACACACACACACCACAACGATGAAGACGACGACGACAGCGACGACGGCGACGGTGATGATGTTTTGCATAATGGCAAAAGAAATCAACGGCAAGAGTGTACACTGTACACACTCAGCAAACAACAATGTATCGCTTTGTTTTGCGGTTTGTTCACATTTTTTCTGTTCGTTTGTTTGTAGAAATTTTGGTGCAAAATTAGTCATTCCAAGGTGTTGCTCAATATAGAGAGAACACAATGAGTTGAAATTGATTCGAGCATTGAAGTGCGAAGAAGATAAAAGAACGGCAATGATTTCGCAAACGCTGTAATCGCTAGATGCTCAATTTTAGTTCATTCTGTGATGGATTTCACGTGTTCATACGTATAGAATTTGTTGGTTAATCGATGTTAAACGAATATTTCGAGCCGATCTAGGTGCCGATTATCATTAATTTTTTTTTTGACATAATCCCATTTCGTTTTCGGGGAATTTTATTAATCCATTGTTCTTTACATTTGTTCGAAAAGTAAACACTGTTAACTAAACATTGCATGTATTAGTCATGGATAATTTTCGACTATTTGTCTCATGTTATGCTGAATTAATGTTCAAAGTTCCCAATGGCCTGTCGTAATCCTTTTTAGAATCCAATTTTGTTTATCATCATTATGAGTAAATATTCCATATTCTGCGGCTACGCACGTTTCTTGGAAAAGAGTTCCAATTTCCCAATATTTAATGACTTCATCGACTTAAGTACATTCAATTTGTCATCAAAAATTGAAACGATGTTCACAAAACAATAGAAACTAAGTCAAACAATGTTTTAATGGAATATTTCCAAAATCGTGGGTTAATGTTGTACAATAAAAAAAGTGCAGTCGGTGATTTTTGAAGATGACCTTCAGTAATCTATCGAAATATGGAATGGACAACATTATTCAATTTGAGCCGATAACAACCGCGAAAATGCGGAGTACAGCTGTTGTAATCAAATGCAGTCGGCTATTCAACCAGAACCCTCAGAAATCAATCATCCTCATTTTTAAAGACACTCAATTTTTTCAACATTTATCGGTTTATCAATTTAATTGGTTTATATATGCGAACAAGTCAGCAGTATCGATGTTAAATAGGTCAAATATGTAATTTTGTTCTTGCCGTCGTCGTCGTTGTCATCACACGAGTTTCATATTTATTGAAATTCATTCCAAGGTCTCGCATCAGCAATGAATTCACATAGCGTCTTTATTTTTTTAAACGACGCATTTCGAATGCATATGGCTCAATTGATGTGCCCAAATAACAATGGTCTCCGTTCAGCATTTCTCACAACCAGACGGAACTGAACCGTATCAACTCAATCAGAATTCTTTTCACGGTCAATTAGAGTTCACTATATCCGCATTCGCTCGTTTGTTGAACGATAAAGTGGGAGAAAGATAGAGTTAGAGAGAGAAATATTTCAAGAATTGCTTTTAATTGGATCTAATGGAAGTGCGTATCTTTTAATACAAATGGCTTTTTTCATATATGACAGTTTTTTCGGCAATGTGGTATGATTTCAAACGACCTCTGAATTATTTGAATAACTTAATTGGCTGTACTATACGATATGAATGATTATGAGAGCAATGTATGGACAATTGCTCGAGCTCATATGTCATTTATTTCGAAAACAGAAATCTACATTTTAAATTTTGTTCGAACAACCAAAAAGATTATGAAGAACTAAGACTCAATATAACGTCTCCATAGAATTTCATGAACACCGCTTCCTTCTAATCTTGTCATGTTTACACAACTTTGATCTGATATGCATTAGCTTTGAAATTTTAGAGTCGATTTTGAATATTGAAAAATCAACACCAAAATTCTATTGAAAAACGAAACAAACCCATTATTAAACAATCTGATCTTCAATCATTCTATTCTATTCGAAGTGATTTTGGGACAGAATTTTCTCAAAATTGTTGTATATTTTATTCAAATAATCTATTTGTAGTAGATTCAATTGCCATAACTTATCACGAAAACACATCTTGCTACAGTTGCATAAGCAGCACGATTTTGTTGGGATTCGTTTACAACAATAACGGCTTTAATTTGAAACGCTAGCAAGGAGCCATCTAACCGACAAAGTGCGGATCATATTGACGTGCTTTTTTAGCACTACATGAAATGTAGAGCTACTAATCTGCTTTTTTTTCTTAATACTTTTTGAGTGATGAAACAAATTATGGTGAATTTGAATTTTATGCTCATATTTTTGATTTAATTTAAAACAGGTGCACTAACGACAAATAAGTGCACAACATCTCAAAGCGCCAATCAAATTTTTGTTATCAAATGTTGTTTAAAAATTACATTAATTTTTCGTATAGTATTTTTCTGAGTCTTGAACAGAATTAAAGTGATTTTAGATTCGATGCTCATATTATTTATTTAATTCAAGCCAAAGGCAGTGTATTTCAAAAAAGAAATAAAATCAAGATCTTGTAATTCATTTTGCAAATAAATATATTACTTCAAAGTTACTTTGATGAAATACATTTCATGTAGTGCGCCAAAAAATAGTTTGTTGTGAAACAACAAAATAGATTAAATAACTAAAAACTGAAGAACGCAGAGCGGAGCGAAGCGAAGCTCTGCGGTCGTGTTTACTTTTATTTTGGTTTATTTCTTTGCTTTTGTCCGATCGCTTTCCTTTGATCGCTGTCATTCCTTCAAAGCTTTCGTTGGATTTGTCGACTCAGATGTCATCGTACAAGGAATTGTGTTTGTATGCATTGGAAGTGTTAGTCAAAGGATACGAAACGCGACCTTTGTATTAAATTTTCCAATAAATGATCTTAGCATTTGATTCATTCAGACGTATTCAAACAATGTATTAAATGTTCTCGTATAGTTTTGCCCTCGGTTTGTTCATTCCTGTTATTTGGGATTTTTGCTACTTTTTTCTTTAAAAAAACTAGTACATGCAAACAAATTTATTCTTCTACAAAACACAGACTAGTCGCTAGATTGGGGTTATGACCATCGCAATTAATCCGTACTAGGTATATCTGTTAGAAGGCGTAAACACTCGTAAAATCTAAGCCATTTCAAACCCGTGTGAAATACTTCCTTCAAATAAAAATAAAAATTTCAAAAAAAATAAATAATTCGTTTATTTCACACTATGCTACTTTATATGCAGAAACTCTTATACTTAATAACAGGCACTAATTCCAAACATCACATTTATTTTACGTGCATTGGAAATAATTCATTCAAAACCAACCAACAAACAGATTAGTAACTGGTTTGAAAATGTATGCAATTTTAGTTCCAATTCTATCCAGCGCCGAGTCATCTCTCTTCTGGTGACGACGCGAAAAATCTTCGTTTCCGAATGTAGTCTTTAAGACTGGAAAACGATCCAGATTTCGGTCTCGTTCTACGATTTTTTGCATATTTCGTTCCCACCCTGGAGTAAATACACAGTTAGAGAAGAGTTCATAGATTATGTTTCATGGCCAAGCAATATGTGGTTGGCTGGCTATACTTACATGTTCACCTTCCGGGAAAATGAGTGGTGGTTCTGTAGTTGTCGGCTTTCCCTTACAGAATATACCTGTATAGTAGGGGTGATCGATTTTGAAAATCCGATGGAATTAAAAATAAATAGTGTGCGATCGATAGATCATGGGGAGAGATGAAAATTTTGTTCTGACACTTTTTTGATATCTGGTACCTGGAGTTGCCCCGGGCATTTTGAAAAAATCACCTGAAAAATGCCCATTTTTCGACATATTATCGCAATTTGCTCTAAATGTGATGCATAAATATATGTAATTTAGTAGCTCGTAGAAAATTCCGTTGAATAGGATCGATCCACAGTGATTAATTTCAGGATATTTAAAAAAATAGTGTCAATTTGACGAAAATCGCCGAAATTTGTCATTTTTCTGTATATTTGCCCACTTATGGTGATCCAGTTCACTATAAATCAATCTGAAAACACCTTTATCCGACTCAACTTGTTCCGAGCTATCGATATGACATCATATTTTAACTCAAAATGTGCCTCTGGACATTGATAGAGCAACAAATATTGGAAAATCTCCCCAAATTTGGCCATTTAATTATGTCGCCCAAAAATTCGAATTTTAGTCGAAATCCTTACAAAAATGTGTCTATATCAACCCAATTTTAGACGAGGGATAGATTTCTAGTTTCATTTGTTACAGGTTTGTGTGATTTTTGTGTCAAAAAGTGCGATTTTCTGGGATTAAACTGTGCAAATCACGACTCATTGAGCAAACAATTTCTGTCTTTGCTACCTTTGAACATCTAGTATGATCCTTCACGAATATTTTAAGTACCTACATGACCAACTCGAGTGATGTTTTCATATATTTCTAGCCGCATATTCGGTTGGTTCGATTTCAACTCTCAGAAAATCGATTTTTGGCCAAAAAATCCTTAGGTATAGGCCTTTTAGGGTGGTTGTCTTTGTGCAAAGTTATTTCCTCGAAAATATGGGGCGTCTTACCAAACAAAAACTCTGAAATTTGGCTTTTCGAGGTACCTCCCGAACAAAAGTTACGATTTTCATGCATTTTGCTATAAAAATATCAATTTTTGTTCGGGAGGTACCTCAAAAATCATTCTTAAGAGCTTCTGTTTGAGTAGATTCCCAATTTTTTTCGAAAAAAAAAACTTTTTGCTAAGACATCTATCCAAAAAGTGTATTTTTAGGGTATCTCCCGAACAAAAATTGATATTTTCATTGCAAAATGTATGAAAAACATAACTTTTGTTCGGGAACCACCTTTTTTGTCTTTTATTTGTCATCACTTTTCGAGTTTTTTCCATGCTAGGTAACATTTTTGATGGTAACTCGATTTGCCCGCACGAGATATCGCTCAAAATTGACTGAGCGTCTTGTTTCATCGTCATGAAGCTGCCATCAAATTTTCAGAACGGTTTTCTAGCTGTGTAGGAAGTTACAGCGCTATATGTGGTCAGAAAAGTCATTCTTTGAAAATTTCTTCGTTTGTTCCATGCTAGGTGACATTGGTCGACATCTTCATAAATACTTCTTTCGACATCCATTTATTTCGAAATGTTGAATAAATCCCTCAAATTGCGACATAAATTACCTAAAAAGCCTGGGTACTGAAAAATGGAAAATGGAAAATAAATATTTTCAATTCACGCAATATTATACAATAGTGATTGAATACCAGATAACGCCACATTAAACCAAATCGATGAAATTACGGCGATGATCCATATTTTCAGCGACATCATGCAAATAAACCCAATTAATCTGAATTAAACATTAGCCGTCAAAAGTTCAATAAAGACTGAATTGGCTTGATAGGATATTTATCTCTAGAATAGCACGTCATATGCTTCTTGTAAATAAAGTGCGTCTGAGAACTTTGAAGGGAAACTTGGAACGGATATTTCAATCTCATATAGTCATGCCATAAAAATTATAATTTAAAAAAAATGAAAAGTGAAACAGTCGTATCGAAACTGTGTCAAACAGTCACATCTAGGCCCGGCTCAATGAAAACAAACAACTTTTTTCATTTCAAATTGCTTGATTGATTTATTTCAAATGGTTTTTTTACTTGTTTTTTAGGACAATTCAGGCACATTTATAAATAAGGAATTTCTCTAAAACACTTGATAGATTCAATGATATTGGATGTTTTTTTTTGTGTGAACAATGAATATATTCCGTTTTTCTGAATCATTTGAGATGTTAATATTTATCCATGTAAAAAATACGTTTGTTCACTCCTTTCGCATAAAAAATAGATTTAGATGATAAAACGCCATTTATAAAAAACGTTCGACAGATGAAAAACAAAATAATAATATCAGTGTATGTATACAGTTGAATTGAACAGCTGGACTGGTTGCCGATGACGATAATTTAAAAAAAAAATCGAGAAAAAAAATATTTTGTGTGTGTAGATAAATTGAGCCTTCTCATAGCACCCAGTCAGCCGTTCCATGAACATGGAAAAGGGCTATTACAATAAAATGTTTTCTAAACAAATGGAAATGCGCTCTTTTCATATATAAATCTAGTTGTTTTGTTGTTGCTATTGTTGCGATCTTTTATTTTTAAATTTATAGTTTGGATTTGGCGACGGGTATACGAACGTCTTTCCACCAAGAGGCTCGTTCCATAGCACCCGGATTCGTCATGAATTCGTTCTGCAGGTTTTCATACAGCTGAAATTCAAATGAAGAAAAAGTGTTATTCAAACAGCGTCACTGATATTGCCGTCATTTGGCTGACTTACCAATCCGTCGGATTTTCCGATTATTGAATTTAGAGCAAAGTCGGGTGGGGCGAGCGCATCGACAATGGCTACAGAACTGTCTTTCAATTCGCCACAAAGGCGTAACAGTTCAGTTTGTACTGTGTCAGCAAATGCATTTTGTGCGGTGGTTGCGGAAAAACCGCCTTGGTAGAATAACGCCAAGTGTCGTTCCAAACACCAAAACCCATATATTTGACCAACCAACTTCAAGATCGGTCGCAGTGAACTGGTTATATCGGGATGTGTCAGCCGTTTTTGGAAACTTTTTAGCGCATAATACTCGGAATAAGTTCGAGTCAAATCACGGGCACGGTACACTTGAGCATTGTTACGTGCATCAAATCTACTCGCTCCACTGTTTGTTGATTGTTGCATATGCTTTGACGTTGAATCCATGAGGTAACACATTAGCCATTCGTAGCAGTCAATGAAAACTGGAATTTAAGTCAAATGGTTTAGTTTATTGAATGAATACATTCGTGGTTTTTGAATCTGGATTGTTGAAATCACAAGATCGACAAATTTAAATTGAAAAATAAAGAAAATCAGATAAAATGCTCACATTCAATACTATTCAATGTATTCTTATCCCGAACTTTTTCAAAGGTATATTTCATAATGACATCACGTTTATCAATGAATGCAGCTGTGCCCGATGGATTCTCAACTCCATTTTCCCATTGTCGAACGAGCCAATTGGATGTTTGTTGGCCCAACACATTATTATCGCCTTCATATGTACAACATGCATCATGATTGTTTCTCAGCTCACCCAAATTGGCAGCTTTGTGGTAACCCTGCGAAGTCATCAGAATGAATGAAATGATTAGTAAAAGGAGAAGCAAATGATTTGCGCAACAAATTCAATCTTTAGCGGTATTTTCATCGGAACTCTGACGAAAAATAAGTACATACATGACCACCGCAAGCCTCACGTGCTTCTTGAATAGCATCTCTGGCGGTCCACGTCAGCAATGCCTTCGAACTGGATATCAGCGCATGAATCTCTGACACTTCTTTGGTCTAAAATTACAAAATTATGTTCAATATTTTCTTTTATTCGTTGGAAAACCGTGAATTGCACTTCCAACGACTTTATTTTTTGTGTAAATAAGTGTAAAGTCATGAGATTTTACTTACCAATTCCTCAAAACCATTGCTATTTGCCCTGGATTTCTCGACTATGGCCAAATAAACATCAGTCAATGTTGTCACAGAAATCTTGAGCACACATGCAGCTGCCAAGTATGGGAATAGACGCCATTGCTGTAAAATCATTAAATCAAATATTATTCATTACGTCATCGAAATTGAAATGTCCGTCTCTAAATAGCGTCCAAAAAATGAACTCTTCAAATAGATTCAAGAATTAGTTTGTGTTGAACTTACGTGCAGTTGGTATTCAATGATTGGCATTTCAGGTCCGTTGATATCTTGGCCGAATTGTTTTCGAACAGCCGCATACCGTACGGCAATGACGATGGCATCGGCGAGCGTATTGGATGACTCTTGCATGATACCGATGCGTCCAGCGGAGAATGATTCAAGTGCGGCTCCCAGAATTTTGGTTGGATCACCAAAAACACTTTCATATTGACCGTCCGGTGTTACGTCACCGGTTTTGTTCAAAAGGTTTTCCCGTGGTATGCGATAATTGTTGAACATGACAAACCTTAAGTGGAATTATGTCAGACAAAAATGAGATATAACTATCAAAAATGACTATTTTCGGTCGTTTGGCTTATCAGCATACCCGTTATCAATGCCATTCAGTCCAATTTTCTCGCCGATATCGCCGACTAAAACGCCTGGATATGGTTTTAGTGTGTTTGGATCTCTGATTGGAATGAGAAAACCATGCAGACCATGATTTTTACCATCACCCGTGTACAGAATGGCAAATGTCAGTGCAATTGTTGCAGTTTTACCGAGATTCCCGACCCAACACTTGGCTGCCTCAAAATCCGGTGTATGAATGACGAATTCTTGTGTTTTTGGATCGTATCGAGCGGTGGTTCGAATGCGTTTTGTGTTGCTGCCGTGTGATACTTCGGTGATGGCCAAACACGTAATAATCTGTAATAAATCGAATCGATTAATTATTCGAAAGCAAACAATGGACATTTGTGTCATACTTCTCCTTTCCACGCAGCTTCATAATATTTGGTGTGTCGTTCAGTACCCATAGCGAGCAGTGCATTGTTGAATAATCCAACGCCGAGCGCTATTTTCACCGATAGACTAGGACACACTGAACGAAGGGCCTCGTTGATACTCATCAAATACCGTGTCTAAAAAACGAAACAATGACATTAGAAACCGAACAACACACAGATAAATAGTCCGTAAACACACACACACACCTTTTGACTATGATTCATTTTATCAACATCGGGCGGTGCTAATTTCAGAAGATTTGTTGCATTCATTTGCATGGCAGCTCGGTATTTTTGCTGATCGGCGGACAGTGTGTGTCGTGGTTTAGCAAACAATGGATTTGATTCAATTCTATTCCATGTTTTATATTTAAGCCGTAATAAATTCTCATCTTCAAACACTAAACGCAGTTGCTTCCAATCGAATTTCGCTCGTTTGCGATATTCATCCAGTGGACCAGACGGCATATCCGGAATGAAACTTGTGTCTCTTACGCTTGCCATTTTTAGATTTCTGACAAAAGAAAATAAAAAACTTAGTGAAAACAACACAATAATTCAGTGGGCTAAAAGTTGGCACGATTTTATTTCAAGTGCATTTCCAAGATTTGCCCGAATTTCTGTGATTTCGGAATTTCTGTGAAAATTTTCCCACTGATAACACACTGCAACTGACTAATTGCAAATTGCGTGAAATATTCCGTAGAAACGATGATTAAATGGAATTTCGAAAAAATAGTACACAGAATTATAATTACAAACCAAATTCGGATAAAAATCGAGATATTTTTAATTTTTAATTATTTCGTTGGTTTCGTTACCAGAAATGTATCGTCAACACACACCCATAACCTTAAAAATGTGTTATGAGTAGAGAGAGAAAAAAAATTCTTTTGGCTCACGAAATATGATATTGGATATACAATTGCATGCTTTATACACGCTCTCATGCATACACAGACACACATGAGACACACGGAAAGAGAGGGAGATATAGAGTCGGAAACAGGGAAAAAGCATATCGTATGATGTTTGCGTGTGACATTGGTGCGCAAACGAGACCGAATATTGTGTAACACATAGAGTTTTGTTGTTTGAATTTGTGAATGAGATCCTCTGCTCGACTCTGTTCTGTTGTTGGCTGTGTGTATTTCTCGCATTTGTTTTGTTTGATGCTCACGCACATTGCTCTAGCTGTCGCCACTATACACACAACGTAAACTTGTCAAATATGCCGGCCACACACAATCACAATATTCCGCACAAATACATTCGCCGCCCCGACGATATGGCATACATACGCTCATACACGCACACATACAAAGCGAACACTGACCACGTGCAATCCATTAGTATGAAAGTATATATACGGTTCACTTCGGCACGACAGCAATCTCGCACATATGAACAGTGTTCTCTCTATAAACATCCATTCCTCTGTGGTGTATATATAGAGAGTAGATTTTTTTTTGTGGATGGAGACTAGGAAAATTCTCCTGTGTGCCGCTGTTCTTTTTTTTTCTTGTTTCGTTCTTATACACGACATTCTATACACACTGTGACACGATTGTGTATCGATTTTTCGTTCGGTGTTTTTCTTATGAATTTCATCCAATCGTTCGATTTATTTCCATGGATATTTCCATGGATATTTTCGTTGATTGTATACTCGCCCGCTCTCTGTTTTTGTCATCGTTTCATTTCGCTTTTTTTTCTTCTTCTTTAATCTGATAAGTCGGTATCGGTTTTGCTGTCGCACTACGAACAATTTTATTATATCTTTTATGGGCAAAATTGCTGGTGTTGCTGAAAGCGCAAATTATTGAAATTCATGTGGTTTGAATCATACTGAAAAGCCGATGTAGTGATAATAAACACCAATGTCGTTCAATTTTGTTTTAGGATGATTATATTACGTGACCCATCGGTTCAATCAGTTCGACAAACACTTTTATATTGACAAAAAATCTTATTGCTTCAGGATTGATGCAGGTCAAAACTCATTTGCATTTCTATTGCGATTACATGCAATCGTTTTTCATTTGCGAAAAACATGCCACTGAAACCACAACCTGAATCCACACTTTATTTGATAAATTGAGGGGAAATGATCTGTCTCCGTTCGATATAAATTTACATGTTTAATTAATTGAGACGCTTGAATTATTTTGATTTGAATTGAAAATATTTGAATTTAATCGAAATCATTGCTTTTTTGCGCTAAAACATACGTCACTCTAGGTACGAATTCCACTTGTGTTTAAACATTAATTAATATTGAATATTCAAAAACTAACAAATCAACATGATCAAACTTGGCCACTTGTTTGATGGGTGTATTTATTTATCGCCCCGAAAAACATGCGACTCAAGTTAAAATCGCATAGGAATTAGCACTTGGTGTCCATATGCTAACTTATGATTTATTCAATTAACATTTATTTGAATTATTCAACTCCGGGCCCCGGCACTCACCGAATTATTTTCAGCAAAACCAACGTTCCCGCTTCAATCCAAAACTAGAACTAAATATGATTGAATTCCGTACATGGAGAACGAATGAACATTACGTGATAAAGTATATCGAATTCATCATACCACCTCAATGTATTGGGCAACAACAACAAAAAGTACATAACACACGATACTGAGTACATATGTACTCGTACAATAAAACATTCACTTAATAGCCAATTCCCGCTACATTTATCGCTCGTCTGACGACATGCTTGTAATTCGAACTGAAGTACGCATTCACATGACTCATGAATCGATTCATACCGAATGAACAATTGTATCCGCCAGTTCCAATTACCCATATACACAACTGTCTATTGTGAATGGTTCAACCACTCTGTTGTCAGTTGTTTTGGAATCCATTTTTGGCCACCGTAAGGATTTTCTATTTTTATGCCAACACAACGACACAGTTTATACAAAACACTCGGCTTAGCTTCGAACTGTGTGGTATTCGGTTTTTGTTTTAATCATCTGTTACGGTGACTTATATTTTCGTTACAATGACGGTGATTTCAGTGGTTTCATTGAATGGCGCGGATAATAAGAACTGCACATATACTGATTTTATGGCATTGACAAGTACAACTATCAATAATCCATCTGCTGTCCGAAATTAACGTTAATTTGATATTCTATGTCATATTCGTTCGTATGTTATTACGGTGATTGTTTTTAACCAGATAATGTACATTTTTTACTTTTCCGCACACAAAGTGTGTGAGAAAAGTATAGCGATCGACGTGATAAAAAGTGTGCTAATTTTTGTTGTGTCCACGATAACTTTCGAACCGCTCAAGCGATTTCGCTCAAAATTTTCCAGGAGTCACAATTAGTAAATATCTTGGATGTATCAAAAGTTGGGCCAAATTGGACCAGTTCATCTGGTACTTTTGGGACATCATAGAAAATCACCCAAGGGTCCCCCCTTGGATTATATCGAAATAAAAAGAATTACATTGGTAATCCCGAACTTTTCCGTACCGTTGGCCTGCGTTGTCTGTAGGTACTTTTGGTTATTTTTTGTGAATTTTCTTGAAATAAAGGCAGTGAAAATATAATAATAAAAATAAAGTGAAAAATCGGTCACTTTAACTAAAACTTCGACAATTTTGTATGAGAGGTACCCGTAAACCGATTTCTATTGGCTTCAAACTTTCTGAGGTTTCATTTTTTGGAGTAAAAATAAGATTCTGAAAGTTTCATGTTGATCGCATTTGCAGAAGTTTGATTTTTTGTCCTCAATTTTTTTCGAAATGTTCTTGGAAAAAATTGAGGGCCAAAAATCAAACTTCTGCACATGCGATCAACATGAAACTTTCAGAATCTTATTTTTTCTCCAAAAAATGAAACCTCAGAAAGTTTGAAGCCAATCAGAATCGATTAACGGGTACCTCCCATACAAAATTGTCCAAAAATCGGTAATTTTAGTCAAAATTTCAAAAATTTTGTATGGGAGGTACCCGTAAATTGATTCCGATTGGTTTCAAACTTTCAGAACCTTATTTTTATCCCAAAAAATGAAATACAAGAAAGTTTGAAGCCAATCGGAGTCGATTTACAGGTACCTCCCATACAAAAGTGTCAATTTTTTGAGGTTTTTCTTAGGGCAAGTACCCCAGGATCAAATCAAAAATGGCTCATCTTCGAACTTAAACTAAGTTTTTCGAATACAAAACTTTTGGCGTTTCCAGATTTTGATTATCTCAATTATTTTTTGAGTTATCGTGTTTACAAACAGCTACGACAACGACGACAACGACGACGGCACACGAACGGAAAAGTGTCTCAAAAAGTGGTTTTCTACGCGTTTCATGAGTTTTTATGATGATCTAAGCTAATTTTGCGAAAAAAGTTTTCGGGACCAATTCCTATACTTTCCCTTGACACATTGTGTACGGAAAAGTAAAAAAATGTCTTTTTTCATCAACCTAGAGTGGATTGTTGTATCGTTCTCACATAGTTTTATAATATTAGGCAGTGTTAAATGGTTTATAACATGATGGCCGACCATGATGGCCCAAAAACTACGATTTTTGGTTGTGTCCACGATAACTTTCGAACCGCTTGAACGATTTCGCTCAAATTTGGCCAGGAGTCACTATTAGTACATACCTTGGATGTATCAAAAGTTGGGTCAAATTGGACTAGTTCATCTGGTAATTGTCGGATGTCATAGAATTTCACCCTTGGATTTTTTTGAAAAAAAATTTTGTTGTTGTTATCATAGAACGGATTTTTGATTTGTTACTTTTCCGTACACAACGTGTCAAGGGAAAGTATAGGAATTGGTCCCGAAAACTTTTTTCGCAAAATTAGCTTAGATCATCATAAAAACTCATGAAACGCGTAGAAAACCACTTTTTGAGACACTTTTCCGTTCGTGTGCCGTCGTCGTTGTCGTCGTTGTCGTAGCTGTTTGTAAACACGATAACTCAAAAAATAATTGAGATAATCAAAATCTGGAAACGCCAAAAGTTTTGTATTCGAAAAACTTAGTTTAAGTTCGAAGATGAGCCATTTTTGATTTGATCCTGGGGTACTTGCCCTAAGAAAAACCTCAAAAAATTGACACTTTTGTATGGGAGGTACCTGTAAATCGACTCCGATTGGCTTCAAACTTTCTTGTATTTCATTTTTTGGGATAAAAATAAGGTTCTGAAAGTTTGAAACCAATCGGAATCAATTTACGGGTACCTCCCATACAAAATTTTTGAAATTTTGACTAAAATTACCGATTTTTGGACAATTTTGTATGGGAGGTACCCGTTAATCGATTCTGATTGGCTTCAAACTTTCTGAGGTTTCATTTTTTGGAGAAAAAATAAGATTCTGAAAGTTTCATGTTGATCGCATGTGCAGAAGTTTGATTTTTGGCCCTCAATTTTTTCCAAGAACATTTCGAAAAAAATTGAGGACAAAAAATCAAACTTCTGCAAATGCGATCAACATGAAACTTTCAGAATCTTATTTTTACTCCAAAAAATGAAACCTCAGAAAGTTTGAAGCCAATAGAAATCGGTTTACGGGTACCTCTCATACAAAATTGTCGAAGTTTTAGTTAAAGTGACCGATTTTTCACTTTATTTTTATTATTATATTTTCACTGCCTTTATTTCAAGAAAATTCACAAAAAATAACCAAAAGTACCTACAGACAACGCAGGCCAACGGTACGGAAAAGTTCGGGATTACCAATGTAATTCTTTTTATTTTAACACGATTTTATCATGTTAATCCGTGTTAAATGATTTATAACACGATGGCCGACCATGATTGACTTTTTTTCTATATTTTTTTGAATTTTTTTTCAACTTTTTTCATTTCAAAATGCATTTTCTGGTTTTTTATATCATTTTCTTATCGTTAGCCGTGTTAAATGATTGGTCAACCATGATGGTCTTCTTTTTAATTTTTATTTTCAACTTTTTTCCATTTAAAAATACACTTTATGGGTCATTTTACATGATTACTTTGAGGACATCAACTTCAAAAAAATACTTGTGCGGAAAAGTCCGTTTTACGCTCGTAAAACTTTTTATTTATTACTTTTTCAGGGGAAAAAAGAACAGATTTATTAATTCACTATTCATAAAAATTTATTTCCGAAATAATTACCGCAGTGTAAAACAATTAATTAGTTCAAAAAATTAATTCTGTTCGACGTCTGGCCGTCTATTCACACATATGGCAAATGTTTTTTAGTGGACCATTAGTTATGCGTATATTTGAATTTCTCAAACAATTGTCACTGAGTGAGAAAATTTAGAAGAATAAAATCAAGTTGAACAGGAAAACGCAGACGTTTTTATCTGATCGAGTTTGCGGTTGCATTTAACAACAAAAAATGATTAAAATAAAATAATAGGCCCATATGGACCATACGATATGGATTACGTCAACATTATGTGTGAACAACAAGCTGAGGATATGAGTAAATTTTATGGGAATTATGACCTTTTATCTCGTTGATCACGCTGTTTTGTTCACAGTGGCAATAAAAAAGTTGAAATTTCTTCATAGCTTTTATCAATTATCACTGTTTTCTCCTTACTGATAAGAGATAAGTGATGACTAAGCGCAACAAAATTGTAGGTTTCAGCGAGATCTAAAACTTTGCTGAACAAAATTCTGCTCCGTCTCATATGGGGTTCGAGTTATGGGAGAAAAACCGGAAAAATGCAAAAAAAATCCGTATAAATGTATAGAAAAATATCAATTTTTCCCACTGCACATTCAGAGATGATTTGAGCCAAAGTGAGAGGTTTTTATTAGAAACTGATGTTCGGGAGTCATGGCTAATTTTCGACGAGGAATCCAAAAATGCAATTGCTTTGGGGTTGAGTAGTGAGGTTTACCAACTTTGGGGTGGTTTTTGTACTTTTTTCACTTTTTGACACCTGCCCTTCAAACTGGGTCAACATTGGAAGCCAACACTATGTGCCAATGAAGTCTATGGGACCAGGCGCAACTTTCGCTCTATCGACCACTAGATTCTAATATTTTTTCTATCTGAAAAAGGGAATCAGCTAGTTTTGAGGCCAATTTAATTTTAAGCTATTGGGAGCATATACCTTACCATGATAAATCAGTTTGGACCACCCTAATGAACATAGACATTGAACATTATGAAAAAAGGGGAAAATATGAAAAAATTTATTTTTTCTTCCAATTCACAGAATACTTGAATACAACACCTTTTGTAATTTCATCATTAAAAGACAAAACGCTTGTAAATTGTTAAAAAGTCTTTATGTTTATTGAAAAAAAAGAATTTCAAGTTATTTTGTGCTTCTGCAGCATTCATAATAATTTTCATGATGTGATATAATTGTTGTTGTAGTTGTTTTTTTGGCGCTAAGTTTTAGTATGAACGGATTATGTGTGGTGCAGTATAAAATCCTGATTTGATTCGGAATGAGTTTGTTTGTTGCGAGACAAACAAATCATTGTTTATTATGATCGAGTATAAAAATAAAAATTACAATTGGTTGAAGTATCTCTTTAGTCTGTTCGTTATGTTTGTTTCGCTGTGAGTGTGTATTTTCATTGCTTTGTTTTTTTCCTATCTGAATCTCAGTCGATCGTGACTTGAGATGCACTTGATGCATTTTGACGTAAATGGCATCCCATTCTCATTTCTCCTTCTTATTTACAATAAAAAAACATTGACACGCGTGTGCGCAACAAATCGGAAACCATGTCAATGTAGCGCCTTCTAAACTGCAGTTAGTTATATTCGAAAAAAAAAATTAGAAGAAAAACGAATTGACAAAATTATTCTCTCGATTTGTCGGCTGTAGTTCTTCTCGTTATTTACAAAAGAAAGCAATTGTTTTTTAGTAAGTTTATATTCCGAAAATAAATGTCGGAGATATAAAGTTGTTTGATTGGATTTAAAAAAAAAAAACCAAATGAATTTGGAACAAGCGATAATTTATACTACAATTAGGAGGAGTATATTTAGATAAACGATGCAACAGAAAAAGAAAAACATTAAAAGAGCACGCGAATGATCTTGTGCTTTCTCGCGAGCGTAATTTGCAAATTAAATTTGCGATGTGCGCGAACGATAAATCGAATCGTTGAATGTCTCGTCCGTGTAAATAGTCCTTCCAGCCAATTCGTTTATTTACATTAGACAGATGAAAAAAATAATATATCTCAATAGAATAACACTAGAATTTAGCAAATGATTTTCGTTTCCTTGCGTCGTTTTGCTTTAATTTCAATAAAATAGTTCATCTTAACGATATCGTTTCAAATTGTGTATGTGTGTTTTTTTTTCTCTCACAGAAATGCGCGTTTCATTTTAATAATTGTATTAATAAAATGATCTTCTCGTTTGAAATTGACTTGTTTGTTAGTTAGATGGGATTTCTCTGTATGTTTTCGTCGTCATCATCGGTTGTTGTTGTTGATGTGATCGCACGTGATTTGCTTTAACTGAACAGTTTGTCGAAGCATTCGTGGCTTAAATATAAAAAAAGGAATAAAATTAAGAAAAAATTAAATCTTCGAATAAAATTCTTTGAATATTTGAATTACCAGTAGGGCTTATCATTTTGTTCTTTGAATGTGCCTTTGTTGAGTTGTTTCAAGCAAAAAGCGCACACAAAATGCTCCGGATGGAACTTTCGGAACATAGCAGTAATGCACCGTCCAGTGATTGGCTTGGAGCAGCCAGCGCAAAGTGATCCACGTTTTGCGTGATAGTGAGTTTCACAATAAGGCAATCCTTCGTGATCGAAAAATGATCCATTTTGGAAGGGTTGACGGCAATCCTGCAACAAAACAATAAAGTCATTAACATCATTTGTATATACTCTGCGAGAGTGTAAACATATCTATTTGTAAAATGAATGGCAAATCAACAAACAAACTCGATCTGGAGTAGATTTGTGTGTTTACTGAACATTCGTCGAACATATGTAGAGCATTTCCGCTGTGTGTCCTCAACGGCTCAAAGTGAATGTCAATTTTATTTACTTAATATTAATAAAGAAGAAGCAACAGCAGGAGAAAAAAATTGGTTCGCCAAACAAAATCGTGAATATAAATTGAAATGTTATTTTTAGGATATTTGATTTTGTTCGCCTTCGAAAGAGGCTGTGAACGAGAGAGAGAGAGACGAAGCAAATCAGAGCCGAGTGATTTTCGTCACAGCCCAGTGCACGATAATCGCTAGTGCCAATGAAAATATGTGTGTAAAAATTGTTGGCCAAATATTTTATTGCCCGCTTGTTACCAAAATCGAAGTGATGCTCTGGTGCTGCACGCTGTGGCCACGGTGCCAGTATGAAATAATTTTTTCTGTCATTTCGTTTGGCGTCGCATTAATTTTAATATCGTTATTAAAATATTGTCGCTTTTGCCAACTGCTATTTTGCACGATGAAGAACAAATGACACCGATTATTTTGTTCGCTTCAACTTATGTCCGCTTCGAAGTTTATTTTCATAAATAATATTTGTTGAACGATTGAAATGTAATATTTTTCGTGTAATACACAAAAGTTTTGGAATTTCTCAAATTCTAAACACATTTAAAGCATCAATTCCTCGCATGTGTTTCCGTTGAACAACATCAAACATGCGATAAATCGGTAGATTTAATGGCGATTTTGTCGATTGTTTACACATTTGCGCCAAAGGAAATCTGTTCATAAAATCGATGTTTGGTCGAACGAATCTTAACACATCCGTTGAATTAATCTCAATCACGGACTTTGAAATTGTATTTGCAAATGGAAAATATAAGCTAAAAACTATGGAACAAAAATTGGATTTGGAAAATTGAAAACGAAATCGTCGATGAAATGGAATAGTCTCAACAGGTTTTGACCGAATTCCATTGAGCCGATGGAGACAGCGAATGAATGAATCATCTGTTTATATAGCTTTATTAATCAAAGAAAATTTTAAATTAGAGAAAAATCTATTTTTAAACATGAAATGTGCGTATTGAATTGTGATGGCGTACCTCTTCCGTGACACGGTAGTGTTTGCGGAAGGAAACCCAACACGTCAATCGGACATTTACGTGAAATGATTCAGTGGATCTTCGAAGGTCTTGAGGACGCGATACGTAGGATTTTCCGCAAAAAAATGGCGTCATTTGCACATCATAAATTGTGTCACACACAAGTGACACAACCAATCGCCGGAGCGATCGAGTGCGACGCGATGCGGTGGAACGTGACATGAACTTGAACATCACGCCTACGCACGGCTTGAAGACACAGATAACGGACCGAGACATTACCCTAGCAACTGACCAACTGACTGGCCAAGCCGCGTGAAACGGTGATGTCACGCCCGTTTTCTGTTTTTATTTGGATTGGTTTTGTTTTTTGTGTTTGTTTTTTTTTTGTTATTTGTGTTTTTTTTTCTTTTTTTATTTTTTTTTAACTTTATTTTTCCATTGCAAATACAATTCATTGAAAATTATAATAAATAAATTGTTCAATCAACTTATAATCTAAAATCGAAGATTGGCTCTTTTCAGCACAATTGAAAAGGTGGCCAGTTCTTCGATTTTGGTTGGTTAAAAGGGATCGTTTCAGAAATGTGTGTTGTTTTTTTTCCCTAGAGACAAGTGTTGATGTTGTTTGTGTTTGAGTGCTAGAAGAAAAGAAAAGGGGCAAGGGCATAAGCATTTGCAGCATAATTCTGTGTGTGCACTGTTTGCATGGCACATCGTTCGGTTGATCATCTCAATGCATTATTGATATTTCGTTTGCTGGTTGATTTGCTTGCTTTTCTCTTCGAGCTCGTTCGAGTGTGTTTTATTGTGTGTGTGTGTGTGTTGTGTGTGTGTTTGTGTAATTGTGTGTGATTGTGTTTGTGTACTTGTGTTTGTATGTGTGTTTAATCGTCGGCTTCGACTCCAACGCATGGCGGGCAAACTGGTTTACCCTCCATTGCATAGAATGATTTACCTCTGACTGGTTTTTTACAATCCTGTTGTATCAAAAAGTTGGAAAAGTTAACAAAATCGAAATTTTCACAGTAAAATGTTCCACACAAGCTTCCATTTGGTGTCAAGCAAATGACACTTCGCGTTGTTGTTGCCAATTCAAATCAGTTTTTTTTTCTTGAAATAAAGATAAAATGGGTTGTGACTTACCCGGCAGACGAAGCACTCAGCGTGCCATTGGGCATTCAATGCTGAGATGTAGTTTTCCATGATGGCGCGGTTGCATCCACTGCACTTTGGTGCAAACATGTCGAAGTAATCGTTGCGGCAATAGGCCTTACCGTCCCGTTCATGGAAGCCATCTTCGCCGAATTGTTGACCGCATTGAGCGCAGAAGAAATGCTAAATTTTTTTCCAAAACAATTGATATTAAATTTATTTTTTTTCTTCTAAATATTTAGAAAATGTTATTAGAAATTTAAAAAAAATCAAACCTCAGTGTGCCAGGTCTTGTCCAATGCCGTAACACATTTCTATAAAAAGGAAAACAAAGAAAAAAGATTAGATGTTATCCCATAAATTGTTTTTCCATTTCAAATGGTTGTCTGTTGTTTGTCGACGTACATCCAAAATGGCACCGTTGCAGTAGGCACAGCGTGGGCTGAACAAGTTATGGTAGTCTGGCTCGCAATATGGTGCTCCATCGCGTTCAAAGAAGTTGCGTGTGCCCAACTCTTGGCAGCAGTGGCTGCATGTGAAATGTTCCGGATGCCATGTGCGACCCAAAGCAGTAATCACTTGGCCAACGATTGGCTTGTCGCAAGCGCTGCAACATCCTTTTTGTGTTGTGGTAACTCCTTGACGATTCATGTTTTCTTGTAGGCTTCCTGCAATTCCCCCGCAACAGAAGAAAAAATTTTTTGTCAAAAAATGTATTCGAAACGCGTTGAATGTGTGCTTGTTTGTTTGGCTGGATGGTACAAACCTAGCATAGAATCCAATTGATCGTTATGATGAATAGTTGTCTCCTGGTGCGAATACGAAATACCTTGATTCGGTTTTGCGTACTCAGTAACCGTCTGTTGCTGATGAGCGCTGGAGTTAATCTGAAATGTGAAAATGTCGGTGGTGAACGAAAATAGACACACCGAAAAAGTTATTATTAATAGCGTGAAGTAATAGGCTCTCTCTCTTCTCTGCTGCCTTTCTCTTTATCTAAATTAGCCAACCGCCGACCGAAATTATTATATGATTTCTCAAGTGTGCAGTTTTTTTATTTTCGCTCGATTCTCTTCTTCCTTTTGCACGCTATCTCTTTTAAAAATAAATTCGATATGTGATGACTTTTTCTCTCTTCCCCATCGCTCTCTCTCTCTCTCTCTCTCTCTCTCTCTCTCTCTCCTAACGACTTTATAACCCGAATCGAGAAGAAAATTTTGCAGCGCGATCGCGCGCTCACGTCTTGTTTTCATCTTCGGGGCTTGGCGATATTTGTGCGTTTTGTTTATTTATTTGTACATTCCGTGAGTTGTGAATTTATTTTTGAACCCATCTCCGGCCTTACATAATTCGATAATGATATTATCTGCGTCTGCTGAGAGCTGTTGACAAATTACTCGGTCTAACTCGAAAATGAGCTTTTCGCTTCAGCCGAGCCCTAGCTGGTGACTTTTGAATATGAACACTTATTAGCATCGTTTCAATGGATTGAAAATTGGAAATGAAAAAATTGAATTGGGTTGAACCTTCCAAATTTTGGATTTAATTTTTTGAAAATGATGCTTTATCTGAAGAAAATCTTTAGAACAATCACGATTCGATTATAAAATTGAAAAAAATATCACAGTCGAGCTCCAGTCAAACGACGCAGTTAATTTAAAGATGATTTTAAAATAAAACTTGAAGAAAATTGCCGAAAAATCGAAGAAAATTGCCGAAAAAAACCTCAAAAACGTTTGAATAATACAATAAAATCGTTAAATTCGTCAAAAAAATATGCGAATCCAATTGAAATCCGTGCGAATATTTCCAGTTGAATACGGAATGTGTCGAAGTCGAAGAGAATGGCGAAAAATCCGAAAAATTATCAACAAATTGAAAATGAGATGCTAACCGTTTGATCACTGTTGTTTGACTGAAAGAAGCAGTCGTTGCGATTTATACAAAATGGTGAGGCGCTGCCTATAAGTTTTCACGAAGTGGTTTTTTTTTCGTTTCTCTCAATACACAATCAAATAGAATGTTCTCACTCTTGCCGACTCCAAACAAGATGTTGGGAAATCGTCTGTCTCTTTCTCGAGTGAAAATTTCGCTTGATCTTGAGAAATTCAATAAAAAAAAAATCCTCGATTTTTTCCTCTTTTTATATTCCGAAGTTTGCGTAGAAAGTGGGGAATAGAAGTACGCAAACGCAACATTTACAATGCTCGACTTCTTTTCTTCTTTTTTTTCGCTTCGAATTCTGTTTGCATCGATTGTATCGTGATAGATGAAGCAAACGGCTGACGTGTGTATACCGATTTAGCCAATTGTAAACATACTTAGTTAGCGCTTGTGAATCATACGCTGGTGTGGAGTCAGTCCGCGAAAGTGTGTGCGTGCGCACGAACAGGCCACAATTGTGCGCCCATGAATATGATGCGCACCCGAATCCAAGAAAGGATTCGACGCCAACCAATTTTCTATATGCTTCATAAATTTTTCTATATTTATATCTGATGTGAGGCGAATATGCGCGCATGAAATCGAATCGAAACTCTCTATGGGCGAGAATATTGTTGTGTTCTTGAATCAGTTGATTTCTCATTCTGTTGGTTTGTTTTCGCGATCGACAATAGAGACGACGCGCTCGATTAAACTGGGCATAATACAACTGTGAACGGCGAGTGATTCAACGCATGCACACCCAGTGCCACTGCCGAATATTCTTCACATTATTATTTTGTTTTCTCTGTATTTTTAGGCATTCACAAATCACACACTTATATTCGTTTTCATTGAAACGAAAAAAAAAACAAATCAATTCTGGATCACAGAAAACAATTTGATTTTCATCGGATTTTATGTTCCGAATCGTTACATTTTCCATTAAATTGAATTGTTTTATGGTTCAAGGCGAGTTCAAACTCAGCAAGTGCTCGAGAGAAAGCAGAAACATGTTAAGAGAGTCGGCATTAAATGAGTGCATTTTATTGGTGCAACCTCAAAAAGGAGCGGAAGATAATTTCGACGTAATTTGTTCCGATTCAGTGAAATATCGGCGCATATGAGCGACAGAACACATAAACAAAGAGAAAATCGCTAATCTATTTGTGTGCTTGATCCAAATACGAAATTGTCACCAGCCATGTGCTCGTCGACCGACCCGACTTTTGAAAAACAAATTCAGTGAATTATTTAATGGGTCATTTTATAAATATGCTCCCGCTTAACATTCAAAACACGGTACATTATTTTCGTTTCTCTGTGAAAACAACGTTCGATCGCTCTCCAAATACGCGACAAACATTTTCGGAATATATATTGAACATGTAATTTTTAATGTGCCGAACATTTTGGCAAACCGAACACTGTGACAATTACGCTTTATCGTTGAGATCAAGCTGTCAAAACATGTAGATTAACATGTTAGTACATTAATTTGTTACGTTATTTGCTCGATAAACATTTGCCAGTCGTCGTCTTCTTGCCCCATCTTTGAGAACAACTTTGTTGCTTCAAGCTTTTAGGATGCGGGTGTTGTTTTTTTATACGACGAAATTTCTTGAGTTGACGCGCTTCGAATTTGAGAAAGAGTCGGCCAATAATCCCATAAGTCACAATCATTTCAGATTTTTTTTTAGTGTGCAAGTTAGTTTGTATCAGCTCAGCAAGGTTACACTGCACCGACAACGAAATCACTTTCATCGCTCTGGTTCAGTACCTCAAACCGATTCTCAAATACCTGTTCAACTGGCAATCATCATACGTTAGTTGTGTTACTTATGCGATTTTGATATGAAAATTAGAAAAATCAGTAGGCGGCGTTTTTGATTGAACACGTACCTTGAAATCAGATAACGATGCCATCAGATCGTCCAACTCTCTTGTAGCAGTCGAAGCATGTGGTACAGCTGAATTTGAATGTTGGATTACTTTTTGAATAACCTCTTGGTCGCCTGGTAAGGTAATTGAATGAATATGATTAGACAATTTTCAATCGAAATAGCAATTTCTCCTTTTTTTTCGGAAGGATCAACTCACCAGGATGACCAGACTGATTGACCGGAGTCATTCGTTCCGTTTTTGTTTCGCGAACTGTAATCGTCACATGTTTTCCTCCAGGTGATTTGCTTGAACCAAATCTGAAGAATAAATTCAAAGAGATTGAAATATTAATTTTGAATTATTGACATTTCTTCGTTATATTGAAGTTTTAAGGCCAAAATTATAGAAAAAATTCGAAGAAAAGTGATAAATAAATAGAAAAGACGCAATTTAGCCAAAATCTATGAATGTTGAGGTCGATTTTCAGCGAGCATTTCAACTAATTTGAGATTTCATGAGTGTATGTATGATTGATGAAGACAAAATTTTCTTGAAATTCATATGAAAACGAATTTTGTTTTTTTTTTTTGGTCTGAAAAAGATGAAAATTAACGTACCGACTTGGCACTGCATACACGGGCCCAGAGGCTTGTGCATTGCTCAGCTCCTCTAACAAATCATCAACGGATGGCCGTTTAATCGAATCATTCAATTCATTTTGTGATCCAAGACTAGATTTAACGGGTTTCAAATTGGCACCGTAACGAGCTTGGCTCAAGTCTTGCAGAAGCGTATCCAATTCAGACAGATTGCCAGCGGTTCCAGTTCCATTTTGATTGTTATAATGTGTGTTGGTTTGTGAGTATTGCGAACCAGGTGCGGATTTTTGATCCGTTGTTATCACTCTTCGTACTTCTTGGTAAGGTGAAGTCTGTAAATAAAATTGAATTTTATCAAATTATTAACTATTTCAAAAAGTTGGAGATATTTATTAGTTCAAAATGTGAAATTGAAATATGTGAAAAGTCTCCCTCTTATAGTAAGGTTCTCTTACCGCTTGTGGAGTTGGCCTTGAGCGCAACGAGCCATATCCCGAGCTGGCGTTTCCATTTTGGCCAGTGTACGCGTGACTCAAGTGATTCAGTGGATTTTGTTGACCTCCTGGCACACTGTTCTGCAGGTCGGCAAGAAGAGCGTCTGTAAAAAAAACAACAAGAAAAAGACAAAAGGAGATCAATTTCAAGTTTCTCAAGCTTCTCAAGCGGCTAAAAATAAAACACGTGAGTCACGAATCGCTAGTCAGTTAAGATAGATTTGAGTCAATAACAAGGTGATATTTTCGCATATTGGTGGCAGTGGTTTCCAATGCGTTACATTTTCTTAATTGAAAATAAATCATAAATTTCGCAAAATTTTCAGCTTGACGATAAACTGCTTGAGCTGCGTGTGTGTGTGTGTAATACACACTGTGTGTGCGTTCAAAAGACCATATAATTCAGCAATATATTTTCTTCGTCTCAATCGAAAACTTACTCAAATAATTTTCGTATGCTCCCACTTTAAATGGTCCCGAAAAGTTGGCGTTGAGAGATTTGCTCATGATGTTCGGTTTTTTTTTTTAAATAGTATTTTTCGATTTTATTTTTGGCTGAAGATCGTTCGTTGTATCTACACTCAAGAATATAGAAAGACGATACACGCAATTAAATGCCAGCGAAAAGACTCTTTCACCTCAATTCAAATACGTTCATTTCCATATGAATGTCAAAAAAAACTCATCATACATAATTTTGTTGCGAAATATTATCGCTCACGAGGGCACATACACACACTCACACACTCATTCACTCTGCTATCAAATCGAACAGACAAACACGTCGCACTCTCACTCTCTTGTCATAAAGAATTTCAATGCAAAAGATGTGTGTCGCTCGTAATTCTGAACTTCGCGTTTAAATTTCATTTCGAATTCAAGGTAGAACGTGATAACGGGATGCTCTTTTGTTTGCAACCAATTGAATGTTTACACTGAAAATAAATCTGTTGTCCGACTTGCAACACGAACGAAGTAAATTAAAAGCAAAACAAAAACACACACAAGCTGCAGAGCGAAAAAAAAGAGTTTGCTTACAAGCGGTTATAAATAGACATTGAGAGACATGTGATGTGAGTGAGATTGGTGGAGTAAAGAGAATAATTTAAGTCAACAACAACAAAACGAAGCGAGAAATAAACGCTCCGGAACAATTCACGCGTACAATTTCAATCTAACTTTGTTTTTCTTTTGCTAAATACATCAGCATTTAGATCTATTAACACCATCCAGGCGAAATATTGTCACACATATCCAACCAGCGCACACATACACTCTCATACGCTCGATCAATTCCGACTGAAAAGAATCGCCTTTGTTGATTTATGATAATCGCTAGCGGAAATTCGCGACTTGTTGAAATCGATAGTCAAATCGCACCAATCAAGTGCAGATCCTCTCGGGGTTTAATTAGTAATCCACAACTCCGGACTTTCGATCGTATCAAGAATCTATTTATCTATCAGAATCTCTCCCTCTCTCTTTCCAATTTCCAAGCACTCAATATCACAATTGCATACTAAATTATTATTTTTTCTTTCTGTTCGTTGTGGTGTTGTCAGAACAACAGACGATGATACCGAGTAAGTGCGAAGCAATTCGACAAAAACGCGTTGTGCAGCGTCACAGCACCGAAAAAAACTGACTTGTTGTAAACATTTTTAGAGAGAAGCGAACTAGATCATTAAACATCAACCGCCATGATACACATGAAATTTTATGCGCGCCACACGAAAAAAAAAATGATTCGTGTATAACGGTATGATGTGTGCCAATATCAACAGGCGCTAGATAGAGTGAGCAAGTGAGTGAGTGAGTGAGTGTGAGAGAGCACGAAACGGTGTAGGTACGAATGTGCGTGTTGTTATTTATGAAGCAAATTTTCATTTAATTTTTTTCCGTCACTTCAATAAATCTTCTTGTGTGCGTTGTTGTGAACGTTTCACATCAAAAAAGAGTGACAGTGCTTGGTGATGAGATCTGTCGCGTCTTACGCAATTTACAACACCTAACTACAAACTGTATCAGTGTTAGTACAACACACAACGCCAAATCGAAAAACTACTGCTGTTCATCGACGCGGTAGTTTTGATGGGCCAATTCTGATCGCCAACAGCGTCGACGTCGTTGTCGTTGGTTCTAAATCAAATTGTCATGGGAATAAAAGCATCGAATCACATTAATTAGTTGCATTTCATTGCAACATCAAACACGAAAATGAAAGTTTAGCATCTACGATTTGAATCATTGACACATATTTTGTTTTGGCGGCTTTTCCACTGTGAATATTTCATTGGTAGAATTGAAAGGCATCACATTTATGCTATGTCCAGAAAGCAGCAGTAGTAGACTGCTTAAGTAGTTGAAGAAAAAAACATTTTTAGATGATCGACGTACACTTGTTCATCAATGCTTATGATGGTGTGAAATCGAATTTTCTGCCTGTCCACTGCCAAACTATTCAGTTAAAACCGAATGCTTTGCATGAATTTTTCAAATAAATTATTCAATTAATCAGGTATCTCAAATGCATCGCAACTATTTTTCAACAGAATGTAAGGTCGCCCTTGAAGAAATCACACTTTTAAAGGATTTTCCCAATTTTTCATTCCAAATCCCCAAGTGAAAGCAATATATACTTTTTTTGTCCCAATTCTCAGAGTGGGTAATCGCTCACAAATGATAGTTGCTTCAGAACATCAATGTTGATTGAGCAATCAATAACGTATCGATTTTAGACGAAGGTTCAATTTCCAAAAAGCAGCCAGAGAAAAACGGTTATCACAAGTCATAAAAAAAATCAACAGACATAATTATTTGGACATTTGTTATGTTTTCCACGCAACAAGGATTTTATTCTCACGAAAACTATATACTGCGTGTTTGATCGTTAAAATCAAGTGAATTTATTGCAATCGTAGCAACTAACTACGTCCAAAATCGATTTGCAATTGATTGCTCAATCCACGTCGATGTTGTGAAATTTTTATTATCTACGGGCAATTAACATGGAGTATCTGTTTTAAGGAAAATGTTTTCGCATAGAAAATGACGATATGTTCATTTTAGTTGAGTTTGTGAAATCAAAGTCTACGGTCTATTCTCTGCAAAGCAGAAAATCCTAATCGATTTTTTTTCCCAAAACCAATTTTTCAATGACCAAATTCACCGTGCTTGATTTGAATAAAATCTTAAGTGCACGATGGGGAATAATATCGGCCAGTTTACCAGCGCCGTAGCCAGGCTGGCGCAATGGGTGCATTGCACCCTCCAAAAATTTCAAAGGTGCAACAAGTTCGGGCGCAAAATCGGGTTTCAAAGGTGCAACAAAAGAAAAATTTCGATTTTGCACCCTCCAATTTTTTTTTCTGGCTACGGCGCTGCAGTTTACTAACGCCACCCCATAGTTTTTACACGACTTTTTCAAATTATTTCATCGTATTCTTTCTGGCCTGGTCAACTGTGGCAAGTGTACAGTTTGTTATGCATAACTATGATGATTTGTTTCTTTCGTTGCAAACTTGTGCTATGATTATCGGTGGTATTCAATCGGTCGCCATGTACATCGGCATTGGAATTAACTCGGACGATGTGACAGCCTTGCACGAACGGTTGCAGTCAATTGTTGATGAAGGTAATAATAGTGTGCATAGTACTTGAATTGATTACAACATAGTGTTCCGTTTTTTTATCACTCAGCTGTGGATGAATCGAAAATATACGAGAATTATTGGCGACGCGAACAATATTGTCGCACATTTACCGAAAGAGTTTCACGTTATACACATCTCGAGCAAGCAATTTATGTGTCCGCTTTTGCCAAATCCATTTTTTACCTTGTTACGGGCAATTTTGACGCTGAGAAATTAGTTTTACCATACAATCTGAAAATGCCGTTTAATACACAAACTATATTGGGTTGGTACCTGTTTTGGTTCGTTTGCGCTAGCATGTCTTTTGCTTTTGCATCGATTCTGGTACCGGTGACCGGTTACTTTGTATCTTGTTACCATTATATCGCTGCCATTTCCGAGCACATTGATATACTGGCCGCATCAATTGACCGAGACATTGACGAAGCAATCGCTGAGCGAAATCCTTACAAAACGGCCTACATATACAACAAAGTCCATACGACATTTCGCAATTTGTTGGAATTCATCAGAGTATTTATGAGTGAGTAATCTTCAATTCTTACATTTCAATGAATCTAATGGGGAATTTTTGGTTTTTCTAAAGTGTTTTCAATTGGGTTGCATCAATGTACAGCTGTGGAATATTCTGGCTTTTACCACCAATGGCACTTTTTATTGCAATGACCATTTATACACTGGAATATGTAAATATTCGCTATCGATTTGCTTTAGATTTAACTGTCAGACCATAGCTACCTCTTCTTTTCTCTAGTGCGAATTTGACCCGGTTACCGTTGGTTTTAGCATCATTTGCGTAATGGTCGGTTTACTTTTAACTGCTACATTTTGCAATTATGCATCACATGCAATAGATCATATTAAAGACATTGGCTTTGCTGCCTACAATTTGAAGTGGTACGACTCTCCAGCCATATTCCGGAAGTATATTGTTTTGATCATTGCCCGTTCGCAAGAAGAGATCAATTTCTCTGGATGGGGCATGGTTTATTGCAATTTGGAAGCTCTTGGAAATGTAAGCTTTTCACTTGTCAATCAATCGTATTGTGCGCACTAGAAATTCCAATCATGAATATCATTTTCAATCACAGATAATGAATGCATCCATTTCTTATTATTTAATCTTTCGTGAATTGAATCAACTTTAAACACGGGATTCTTGATTAAGTCAGATGGGTTGCGGTAAAATGGGATTAACGAAAAACAATCAGACTTCAACACACGATAAGTGTCGAGACTTTTGAGCTTTGTCTCCCTCTTTTTTTTGCACTGATTATCATAGTGACTCGTTCATGTGGATGCTGCCGTTAAATACCGCCGTTAAAGTGATCGAGAGTTTCGTTGTTCTTTTCACCAAATTTTGCAATTTATTATCACTGGATTTTGCATATTGCATACAGCATATTGAAAAAGAAATGCACATTGTTCAAGTGAAATGAAAATAAATTACACATTGTGTTACTAAATTTCAAACCATGATGGAAAATTCTTTCGATTGTCCACCGTAACAATTCATCAAATTGGAAGCGTTTGCTACAAATAGTTTTGTTGCATTGAATCATTCGTTCCATCCAAATGAATTCGAAGTATTTTTGGAATTCCTCATGATGACGCAACTTCTCACTTTGTATTCGCGTTAATGATCGAGTGCAGCCATTTTTGTGGTGTCGACTTTTTTCTCTGTTCGAAACTGTTAACATTCTTAATGAAAATTGATGTGTTTTGGTGCACGCAAAGCGTCAAAACAACATGCGGTAATGAATATCATGTATTATACCGTGATGAGACCAAGCAATAAACACTTCATAATACATTTTTGTGCGTGTAGTCGAAACTCATTCGGCTCGAATATTGTGTAGATGCCAAATGATCGATTCAGTTATAAAACTTTTTTGCCTAACTTCCGGCGTTTTTCACTCTGTTATACACACACTCTGGTCAAATTCAATTCATTTTGAATTGGCATTGAACGTGAAAATAAAAGTCAATTGGCACTTGCTGTAAATAAAATTTTTTAATTTAAATGTATGTTAAACATTCATTGACTAAATAAATATCAGAGGTGTTACAGGCAACAAGGCGACATGTACTCTTTTGTGTGTCATTTATATGGTGGGAGCATTATTGAATGGTATTTAATTGAACCAAATACACTGACAGCGCTATTCGTTCACTGAACAAGCAGCACACAACGAGAGAGAGAGAGAGAGAAACAGGCTCTGCCCACGCAATTGCGTAATCTTTTATCGAATGGCGAATAAATTAATTTCGATGAAAATGATTTAGATTGTTAGGCAAAGCTGACAACTAGCTAGATGAACAGCAAATTATGAATATTCGCGGTATTTGAACAAATAACCCACCAAAATAATCACCATACATGTTGAAGAGAAACATTGATTGGCTTTTTGAGAGATGTTGTTTTCTGGTTTTCTGAAGAATGAATGAATGACATCATCGCATTCGCTGTTTACATGTGTAAAAATGTCATCAACCGCTGCATAAGAAAACTAATTTATACTCGAAAATGTCATGAACGAGAATGTCGTTGAAGTGAAGTGTATGCTCAATGGTTTCAGCGTCAAGGTGACATATATCAATACTGCAATTTCTCAATGACTTCGATTCATGATTTACGATCAACCGACCGTTTTTCTCTCTTCACCATCAGTGTATTCTTTCATGTTTTGAAAGGTTATGTTTTTTTTCTAGCAGAAGTAAGTTCCGCTTGTGCCACACAATCGTGTATGGAATTGCGTTTTACGTAATCAAAAGCCAATATTTAGGTATTTGGAACGATAACCGACGCAAAAACAAGGAAACAATTACAGTTTTTTTTCTGTTGCATGTTCCTGTACGCAAACACACCCAACTACATTAAACAAATGATGTTTTTTTTTCTCTCCACCGACTGCGAGTGCTTATTAACATTGTTTTTTTTCATTTTCTTTCAATCCGATTCAGTGTCAATTGGACTTAATGAAATCGAATCAGTTGCAAATATGGAGCCAGACGTTTTGCGTAATCAGCATTTCATTGCTTCGGTGTTGATTCTCTAAGTGATTGGTTTTGGCAACAGAGAGAATTTATGTGCTCTCTACACAACAACAAAGATAGTATAGCGAGAATTTGTACTGGGCCTGATGAAGTGATCACATTGAAAACAAATGTTGTTCCAAGTCATTTGACCAAATTGGGTAACGAGTTTGTTGTTTCAAAATTCACCGATGCCGACATAAAAAGGAAATGATCGTGAATAATGAGCACTACTGAATTTTTGTCTTTCGCACACGCACACGCACACGCACCACACCGCACATACACGAACACAATTTTATCGGAAGGTATTGCGGTGAAGCGCTACAAATTCCACTCGCCAAACTGCATCGACAAGTTTCAAGTGGGATTCCTTTGAAATGACGAATTCAGCGTGATCATCGGTTCACCGAGCGAAATGTATTTTGTGAAGAAAATCAAATTGGAATGACTTTTTCAAGGAAAATGTGGCGTACCGAAAAATTCGACCGAAAGAAATTCAAATTTTCGCATTGCTATGTTTACAACTGTCGATGATGACGACCAAACCCAAAGCCAGATGCTCATTTTGTTTCGATTTTTACTTAATAATGTTACGCATAGATTGTTTACACATTTCTCAAGCGAACGTTTTTCGTTTTTTCTTCTTAAATCAAAGTGAAATAATCATACGAAGATTTCTAAATTACCTGACATTGTTCTAGTCCAAACGGGTGCTATTTACACAAACTAACAAAACACTACGCGATTCGTGCGATAAAATACTGTGTGTTGTTGCAAAAGCGAAGGAAAAGAGCAAATAGCAAAAGTCAAATATAAAAATGAAAGCGAATGAGATATTTGAGAAAAAAAAACAGTTGAATTGGTTGGTGTTGGTGCACTTGAACGTCTTGAAAATGAAAAAAAAAATAGTCTAGTGAGGAGTCATTTGCAATGAACTGAAATCGCAAAATCACGTCTGTTACATATGGAAGAAGAATGAACACGAAAAAAAAAATGAGCAAGCAACCGTTTCCAATTCACTTTATAATTGTTCTCGTTTTGTGAGTTTTATTCTGCTTCTATTTTTCTTTCTTCTTCAAAATAAATCACTTTTGACCGCAAAATGTATAATAATTTTTCTATTAATTGATTTGCCTTTTGAAACGGATTAGCAAATTATTCTATTATACTCCTTAAATGGGGGCGATCGCACAACACAAACACATCAAATGACACTGATTTGGTTGGTTTCCACAAAAACTAGAATCGAATCGTTTTCTTTTGGATCGGAAGGTCACTGAATTCACGAAAAATATTTTAATTGTTGATGCAGATGTTCAGCTCGCAAAATATTGTTGAACAAAAAAAAAGAAAGATGGCAAGCAAAAAAATTTAGGCGATGATTCAATTGACAAGAATTGCATTCAATGTAGAGGAAAGACTTGACGATACTAAGGAAAAAATGCGACTTCTCTGTGATTCAACTTACGAGAAAAAAAACTGGAAGAGAGTGTGAAGTGTGTGAGCGCAATGTAAACGACACACCAACACCAGTAACGGAGTTTTCAATGTGAGCATTAGCGTGCGGCGTGAATGTGTAGTCGTTCCACCATATATCGATGACTTGATATGACCATGCATTAAAATACTTCAACACAACCAAAACACACACTCACATAAACCACAACTTATGTTGTGCTCTGCACCGTCGAGTTAAGAGACACACAATCCCATCCAATTCCGCTGTTACTTGGTGTTTGGAACTTTTGGAACGCATGTGTTAAATCGAAATAAAATCATCGTAGGCGCATACAATTGAATCTCAATACATTCCATAAACGATATACACATTCGATTTGAGTTGAAAACAACATTTGGCTCAACTTCTTTGTTGCGCTGTGTGTGTCATTGACTAATGCGATCGTGCGCCATCGTCTCGAATGCATGTGTGTATATGTTTTGTGTATATTGTGAGCAACACACGCATTTTATCGCCCGTTTCAGAAAACAAAAATACTCGCAAGCAACACACGACGGGACTATGTAGATCGTAGGTCAGACGCCAATCGAAATATGTTTTGAAATAGCAAACAATATGCTTTGTATGACGTCAATATGGATATAGCATATCTCAAAATCGGACACAATATTTAGTTACAATATCTACGGTGTCCACTGTTCATCAATAAAATGTAGCTACATTTGGCTCTCATCGCATTCAATCCATTTCGAAAAGAATGATATTCTGCGGTTGGCATTTTGACACAGCAAGTGGTTGAGATTTCTAATAAATTGGACTCGTCAGTCAAACGGTGTCTTTTCTTCTGTCTTTTTATATGACATTTTGGCTTGGACATCACATTTTGTATGATTAATTGTTTGACATGAGCTTATTTATTTTTATAAAAAGTTTCATTTTTATTAGCACTACATGAAATATAGAGCTACTAATCTGGTTTTTTTTCCCAATACTTTTTTTTAGCCATGAACAGAATTAGAGTGGCTTTCAATTTTATGCTCATTATGTTTATTCAATTTAAACCAGAGGCAGTATGTATCTTTCAAAAAAGAAATTAAAACAAGATCTTGTAATTCATTATTGAGATAACTGAGAAAATCTTTTTTCTGTACCTACTTTGTTGCAAATATATATATATATCCTTCGTACTATGCTTTTAATCCATAGTGCTATTAAAAGGGACGATTTTTAATGATACATTAATGCAAAGTTGCTTCGATGAAATACATTTCATGTAGTGCGCAAAAAAGTAGTTTGTTGTGAAACAACAAAATAGAATAAGTTACTAAAATCTCAAGTGGAGCAAAGCGACACTCTGCGGTCTTGTTTTCTTCTTGACAACAAGTTTGAATAGTATT